GGCGGGGGGAGAAGCCTGTGAGGAGGCGGCTGCCTAGAACCAAGGGCACTGTGCAAGAATTCTGCTCTGATGCCCAAGAACTTCTCCCTGGCCTTCGGTTCCCGTATGCTAAATGCCAAGATGATGGGACTGCAGCTGGAACTGGTGGATAAGGCTTTTTAGAAAAAAAAATTAGAAAGGGAGAATCTGCCGTCGAAGGGCACGCCAGTGAACAGCGGTGGCTTGTTTAATTACTAATAGGATTAGGATGGAGCTTTCTTGTCCACATTTTTTTATGTTTTAGACAGGCAGAGTGGACAGTGAGAGAGACAGACAGAGAGAAAGGTCTTCCTTTGCTGTTGGTTCACCCTCCAATGGCCGGCGCGGCCGGCGCATCGCGCTGATCCGAAGGCAGGAGCCAGGTGCTTCTCCTGGTCTCCCATGGGGTGCAGGGTCCAAGGACCTGGGCCATCCTCCACTGCACTCCCTGGCCACAGCAGAGAGCTGGCCTGGAAGAGGGGCAACCGGGACAGAATCCGGCGCCCCGACCGGGACTAGAACCCGGTGTGCTGGCGCCACAGGCAGAGGATTAGCCTATTGAGCCGCAGCGCCGGCCTCTTGCCCACATGTTTTAAAACATAAAAGCAAACAGTGGAGTTCATACACACACAGACAAAAGGCAAAACTAAAGAGTAGGAGGAGGCAAATAAATATATGTGTATTTGTAAAAACTGGCAGACAGTTCAAAGTGTGACACGATGTGCAAATGGTCATTCACATAAAAATATTAAGAAATAAAATGCAACAGCTTGTATGAAGAAGGAGGCGTAACACAAAGTGCCAAAGGTTGAAAATAAATGGCTGGTCAAAGCCGTCGCACTTGGAACTCTAATCAGAAGACAGAGTGGTAAAATTAACATCGAAGGAGAATGGAAGCGAGAAGTCCGAGGTGGGATGACGGCGCGTCGCAGGGACAGATGGCATCGCAGACACATCACTCAGCGCCACTCGTGCAAGGGAAAAGCGACAGGAAGACGCACACTCCTAGTCTCTGTCTGGGACGCAGCTGAGGTCCACAGAGGGACATGGATTTACAGGGAAGACACCGGAGACAGAAATAACCCTTGTGGAGTCTCAGCCCACACCATGCTGACTGGTCCGGGCACACCCGCAGTCCCACGGGGCCTCCGGGGTGTGTGTGTGTGTGTGTGTGTGTGTGTGTGTGTGTGTGTGGCTGAGCAGCCGGCTTTTCTGTTGAACAATTTCCACTTAAAAACTGAAGCAGTGCGAAAGCACTACACTGTGCCGTAACCGGCGGAAATCCAGCCTCCACGTCCAGGGGCGTCCCGCGGAAGGCACGCAGCCACTTCCAAGGCCGCACAGCCAAGAACGCTGCACAGCTCTCTGGCAATTTTCATACCGGCTTTCTGTTGAAATCTAGGCGGCCTTTGGATTGACTGGGCTAAGGCACCTGTTTTATTCAAATTATTTCCACCTGTTTCTTTTCATGCGCGGACTGTGGCTACTGAGGAAGACGACATTTCCTTATACTTCTGTGCAACAGCACTACCAGCACAGGGCTTGCTTGCCTCGACGGGAGCTGTCTACACACGCCAGTCACCCATGCGCAGCACGACAGGGCAGAATTTGCACTTCTAACACAAACGAGACTTTTCCTTAAAAAAAAAAAAGGACCAAAATGGAAATCAAGAGCTGAGTACAAAAATAAAACTGAAGACATTAAAATGAAAACTTGCAGGACACCGTCACCATCAACAGTGGAAGATCCCCGGCCCCTCTCAGGGTCAGCACCTCCAGGATCTGTTGCACAGATCACAGCTAAGGGGGGCACAGGGTGTGTATGATCTGGACTGCCCAGAGTCCCCGGGCTAGGGGAACCAGGGGCACCCAAAAAGAAAATAAACCAACCAAGCAGGCAACTAAAACTCCAGAAAAATTCAAGAAAAATTCCCAAGAAAAGTAAGAGCAAGAACAGTTAGATAGAAGCCAGGATTAAAAACAAGCAGAAAGGTTAAATTCGGGAGCTAAAAAAAAAAAAAACAAAACACCAAACCATTGCTCAAAAAAAAAAAAAAAGTCAAGTGACAAAGAAAAAAAGGTCCACATATCCTAAGAAATGAGAAAGAGGATCGTCATCAACAACAACAGGGTCAGAATTAAGGGAGTATCAAGCTGGCGCCGCCGCTCACTCGGCTAATCCTCCGCCATGCGGCACCAGCACACCAGGTTCTAGTCCCGGTCGGGGCGCCGGATTCTGTCCCGGTTGCCCCTCTTCCAGGCCAGCTCTCTGCTGTGGCCCGGGAGTGCAGTGGAGGATGGCCCAAGTGCTTGGGTCCTGCACCCCATGGGAGACCAGGAGAAGCACCTGGCTTCGGCTCAGCGCAGTGCGCCGGCCGCGGCGGCCATTGGAGAGTGAACCAACGGCAAAAGGAAGATCTTTCTCTCTGTCTCACTGTCCACTCTGTAAAAAAAAAAAAAAAAAAAAGGGAGTGTCAACACAGTTGGGTAGTGATACACTTGAGACACTCAATTTTTTTCTTGTAAAAAATCTAAATTAAAATTGATAATAGAAAAACCAAGTTGGCCAAATGGAAAAAAGGAAAATTTCTGTGTTTTCTAAACTGCTTCTCCCCAAACCAGCAGGATCTGATGAATTTGCTGATATTTCATATTTTCCAGGTGTGATTAATTCTACTTTTTCAAGAGCCTCAGTTCACATGCCCTCTCTGGTCGTCTCTAGTCATAAAGCCCGGTCAGTGACACAAATTCTCCTGTGGCACAAAACACGACTGACGCTCAGCAGCACATGTTGTGAGATGAACATGATCTTGACCCCAGACCCAATGAGACACAAGTTCCTAAGCCTTGCACTGATACAAGAAATACCAACCAAAAAGACAGAGGCGCGTGTGTGCAGAACCACACGGACACCATCTCCTGCCCAATTAAAAGCCACAAGAATCAGACAGGAAGCCACGTAAACAACGCATGTAAATTCATAACCACGCCACCAAGACCTCTACGTGACCAAAGAAGATAAAAACATTTAAACAAGAGGAGCTAAAACGTTCAAGCTCAAATGAAATAAGACAATGATTGCTATTTTACATATTAAATTATTCAAATAGCATTCACCTGCTACAAATAGAGTGTTAGCTTTTTGCCTTCTTCCTCATAGCTTCTACTCTCTGCTCCGAGGTGGCCGACCTTCCTGGAGAGCCGTTGGCCTCATCACACAGGTGGACAGAGTTCACACACAAGGCCGGGAAGGGACAGGACAATGCCGAGGGCGCCGCGGTGTGGGTGGCATCTGTGGGCTGCACTGGTCGGTCTGTTCGCTAAGGGCCGGGACGACACCACGTCAGCAGACCCTGAAAACAGGATGTGTGCTTTCTTCCCTCTGCTGCTTGTCTTTCCAAAGCGGGGAGAAGCGGGACTGACCCGCGTGCCTGCCTTCGGGTCTCGGCATCTCCCTGGTAACTCACTTATGAAGGAAGTGGCCTTCGCTGAGAACAGCGATCTGTCTGTCTCATCCAGCTTCCTGGAGAGCTGGACTCCCTCCTCAGCTTCTATCTCACCTGCTCCACTAGCTGGAAGCAGTTCAGTGTCAAAAAATCCTTTTAAAACTTGACCTGGGAATTGTAAGCAAAGTGGAGGAAGAGCGTGGGGAGGCTCCCAGCAGAGCGAGCCGCCCAAGGCCAACATCACGTCCGTGTAATTACCTGGCACAACAGAACGTCTAATGGTGCTTCGCTGGGTAATAACGGCATGAAATAATTACTGCTCGAGTGACCTCTATGTCAAGGGAATAAAAGCGAGAGAATCAGTTAACACCAAGATAACACGCTGGTACGTGGAAGCGGCACCTCGGTAGGATTTCGGCACGTGGCGAATTCCAAAGGTGTGGGAAATTTTGCGTGCACAGTGCCCGAGTCATGGGAACAAAGCACCAGTGATTGCCTCCAGGTGGCTCGGGCCTCACAACAGCGTCATAAAGACTTCTCCTGGCTTTTTGACGCCTGTCGCTAACAGGTGCCTTGTGCCACGACTTCCTCAACAACAGGAATCCTCCTCTCGGAGGGGATGAGCTCCGAGAGGGTGAGCAGAGTCTGAGCAATCCAAACGGCTGAAGGCTGATCACCCCTAGGGCGCCCACGATCTACACCTGATCTTCAAAACGCTTCAGTTCATTCAACAGATGCCCCATCCATGTGTGAATGAAGCATCCGGGCTCATGAACGCCTATGAAGATGCCCTCGTTCTGAGCTCCACACGGCTGGGCCCGCAGCGTAGGCCTGTGTCCACCAGGGGGCACTGCCCGAGAGCGAGGCCACTTTGCTCAGCCTGTCTTCACCCAGCTGGTTCCCAGGGACACGGCTGCCCAGGATGCAAAGTGGGCCTCCTTCACGCCTCTTCTGCAGAGGAACCACGGAGGCTCAGGACTTCACAGTCTGACGCAGCGTCATGTTCAGAATGCTACGTGTGTCTCAAGCCCTTTCAAATGACTCCAACTTTCACCTGGAACTCTGCTAATCCTGGAGCCCCCGGGGTCAGCAAGAGCCTGTGTCAGGGCAGGACCCTGGAGACGCTTCCTAGACTGGTGGGTTTGCTTTTTCTCTTCTGCTTGTTAGATGGACCCAAGAGAAAGAACGAAATGGAAGGTGTGCCGTCACCAGCCTGTGCCAGACCCGTCTGTCATTTCTAAGGAACACAGAAAGAACCGGCTGGGACTGAAGAGCAAGGCAGCTGATCGGCCCCGCACGGACAGCTAGGGGACACGGAAGGCCAGTCCCAGAGCCAGGGCTCCTAGCTCAGCGCCGCATGTCCCTAAGAGCTGCTGCAGGAGCGCTCCCCTAACGGCCATCGCGGCTCACAGGGCGCGAAGCGTTCTGATTTCCCAGCGGGACGGCAGGGCCCCGCTCCTGGTCTGGCCAGGGGTGCTCGAAGCAGATAATTTCATTACAAAGGCAGGGTGGGAGGGGGAAAAAAGTCACTCAAAGTTTCAGTAATTCAATAATTTATTCCTCTAAAAAAGTGTGTAAAAGTATATAGCTCTCATCCACAAGGTATATATGAATGACATTTAAAATGGAGGCCTTTTATTATTGTTTCTTTTTATCAAAGTCTTTTAGTGTACTGTACCAGCGCTATACTGTAGTTTTTTTTAAATGAACTTCACATATTTTTGTATTCTTTCAAATTGTTTGCTATATATAAAAGAAGCTCACTGCAAAATGCTTGAAGGAAAAAAGGAAACAAAAGAAATTCAGAACTTCCCAGAAATGTACAGCTTTTACATTTAAAAAAGGTTCTGAAATATACATACAAGCATGCTGGACAGTCCCACCCTTCTCCCCCCACTGCCCCTGTTGAGTTCAAACCATGGTAAGAGTTCTGATCTTTGCAGGATTTCCAAAATTAAAAATAAAAAAAAATAAAATAACTTCTCACTCTGTAGCAAATCCAGGGCTTGTACATTTCAGATTAATTCAGTAAAAAACTCACAAGTAAAATAATGCATATTTAAGGGAAATATTATACAGACTTTTTCACACAGAAGTACATAATAAGATTTTTTAAAATCTATTGCCATTCATTTATTTTTGCACAAAAACGTATAAATATGTCACCAGCTTTTCTTAACTTAAAAAACTTAAATAAAAGACACCAGATGAAAACTACCCTTTGCTGCCTTTTTTTTTTAATTTTTGTAGGGTTTTTTTGTTTTGTTTTGTTTTTTGTTTTTTTTTTTTTTCTTTTTCTGCTTAGAACTGGGTTTCTAGGGAAGAAAAGCCCCTGCATTAAAAACAGCCCATTAAAAAAAAATTCAAAGTTCTGATGAATTCTGGGAAAAAAAGCAACCCCAAAGTGGTAAAAGATTACAAATATCTACTTTACACTGTGTCTTCTCAGCAAGACAGTTCTATACAAGTTTACAATCTCCATCATCTTATGCTCTTCAAAAGGCCTTGAGAATTCTCCTTTCTGATTAAGAAAAAATAGCACTGCAATATTTTTAAAGTCAACTTTACACTGTACACAGTAGATACAAACGGTTGCTATATCAGATTCTTAGCCTATACATTGCGACAGGCGACCCTCCCCCGCCACGGTGGCACGGAGAGCACCGCCACTCATTTACACGTCACGTCTCTGCTCTCCCGTGCCCACCACACAACTTTTTTTTTTTAATATAATGTTTTAAACGTTAGATTATTTCAAGAAAAATACTTTTACAAAATCATATCAATTATTACATTTCTCCTTTTTTTGTTAATAACCAGGACACGGAAGTCTCTTGGAAGAACTTGTAAAATTTGCATGATTCTCTGCACACACAGATGACAAGAGCCCCACGGCCTGGTATGCGCGGCTCCTGGAGGCCGGTCCACATCCACTGCCCCCAGACAGAAACACCCAGCAGCACAGGGTTAGAGACAGGGCTCTCAAGACAACCTCTGGGCCTGGAATGAGGAGTCATAAAATACTTCAATTAGCCATTAATGCTTTAAAAAGGCATTTTTAAAAAAGTTCCACCACGAAGGCTCAACTTCAAGTACTAATTTAATGGTTAAGTTGTAATATTTCTTTGAAATAATATTCCTATGGTCCAGAAAAAACTCACCATATTCAGAACTGGCTTATGAGCAAACACTGTCAACTGTGATATGTACATGGATGAGTCCCTTTTGATCTAATGGGAGGAGAGACCTGGCTTTCGATAAGAATTCACTAGAAAATAGATTTCCATTGTGACTGTATAAAACTAAGTGAGGGACCTGCCTCCGTGGCCCTGGACTGGGCCCAACTCCTCCAGGATGAAAACGTCATCCCTCAGGAGTGGAGCACATGTCACTGGACGTGACAGAACCTGTAGACCCAGTTTGTTCTGAACAAAACCCACTGCTGGGTGGTTCTGAATGTTATTTCTTAGGCATCACCTCCCCAGTCTGTCTTCACCCCTTTCCGCCTCTGGGACAGAGGGGTGCAGTCAAAGAATCCTATGGTGGGGCTGAGTTGGGTTTCAGCTACTGTACCTGGTCCTCGTGAATTAGAAAAAGTCAAGTCACAGAAACTGTATTACAAAAGAACTCAAAATAAATAAAATGAAGCTGTCTCCAGACCTTTTGCATCTACACACAGGCATGAAGTCAACCAGAGCACGCGTGCCAATCTGGAGGGAGCTCTGAGGGCAGAAGCCCCAGTATGAATCAGGTACTTGAGCTGGTTCTTAGTTCCAGAGTCCCAGTTCTGGGCTTCAGGTAACCCACAGGCCACACGCCAGTCACTAAGGACCAGACGGCCTGCATCCTTAACAGAGGCCGACCGCAGCCTCTTGTGCAAAAGGACACTGTCTCTTCTGGTTCCTCTGAGAAGCCGCCAGCCACCACCGTTTCCTGCAGGCCAGTGGCAGGGGCTGCGCACGCCACAGCCCTGGCTGGAAGTCACTGCTATGGAGTTCCAGGTCCGCGAGAGAAGCGTCAGGGAGTCCTCTGAACTGAACACTGCAGGGACTGAGCGTGCCTGCGGCGCAGGGATCACAGTGCAGGACTGCGCGGGCTCAAGGACGTGGGAGGTCTGCAGAGCGGAGCGGGAGGAGGAACTGGGCCAGAGAGAACAAGTGCTTTTCCAATCAGAGTATGTTCATGATGGCATTGTACAACTGAGTGAGCACCACAAAGTGGACGGGAAGGCAGGAAGTGCGGTCTTGGGTGGCCGGATTGCACGTGAGCCAGGAGAGGGCGTTGTACTGCTCCAGAACGAACCTGCGAAGAGAACACAGAGATCAGGGCAGGGCCCGCGGCACACGCGAGGCTGCTTCTCCGCCTCGCCACACCTTCCGGACCTTGGCGGGAGAAGGCCTCGCATCATTCTTTACCTGGCCCTGGGCTCTTCTGCATAGTCCTGTCTCAGGCCCCTCTTCCTAATCGACCTGAAGCGCCCACGTGGCTGGCACCAGCCACACGTGGCCACTGAACACCGGAGCAGAGGCAAGATCGAGGAGAGATGCGCTGTACAGATACAACCTGCAGCAGAGTGCAGGGACTCCGTACTTGAAGAAGCCAGTTCAGGGACATGTGTACACTGATGACATGTTGCGATGGTACTATTTCACATGTACTGAGCCAATACAATGCGCTGTTGAATCAATTTAACTGATTTCTTTTTACTATTTTAATGTGGCCACTGGAAGAATTTCCATTAGATATGTGGCTCCTGCCGCACTTGTACCGAACAGAGTTCCTTCAGGGGCCCTGGGAGTCCAATTCAGGTCGACCAGGTTCTTGTGTAACTCTAAGTTCTGTAAGTCAATTAAGAGCTGGCATACACTAAAGAAAGCTTGTGTCTTTTCTCAAGGCACATGAAGACTGTCCATGGACTGGTAAAGTGTAAGAGACTGACTACATATTCTAGAATGCACTTCCGACTCTGGAATTTCTGTTCAGCCAATGTTACTTACAGAATCTGTGGCAGCGAGGGTGGAAAGTGTTTTCAATGCAAAGTACTTGCAGCTGCAGGCACTGCCTTCTACCTACTCGCCCACTGAAGGTGACCAGTCGTCACCATGGAATGCCTCCCCGAACAGGAAGCACAGGCAGCTGCAGCCGCACACACACTGCCTGTGCCAGGCCCCCGCAGGCGGCGGCCCTCGCTGGCCGATCAGACACTGCAGCATGCGCCAGCGGCAGCACCTCTTCCATGAACACCACACTTAGACGCAAACCCCGGAGTGAAGGAAGGTAACTTAAACTGCCCCTCTATTGCCTAGGTCAGGATCTACCTTAAAACGTCAGATGTGGTTTTGGAGTCCAGAGGGTGTGGAACCCGCTGAGAATTCCTGGCAGGGAGAAGTTCGTCCGTCTGTGCTACAGAAATGTGGTGATGCAGGGAAGCCTGGGGAAAGAAGCGAGAGCGTTACCTCGGGCCGACAACCTCAGCGCAGCCAAAGGAGGCCCAGGGCCAGGAGCACATGTTCTCCACAGAGTGTCCGGGAGTCCACGCGGCCTAGGCGGCTCAGTAACCCCCAACAGGTCCCATGAGCTTTTTTCAGCCTATTTTTCTTTTTTTGGCCCACTATATTTCGTTTATTGGAAACAGTCAAATATAAACAACAGTATAATATATAATGAGGCATCACATACCCCCATCACCAAGCTGCACACACATTACCAAGATATGCGACTTTTTGTTTCGTTTGAGTTTGTTCCCCTCATGAACTGTTTAAAAACAAAACCCAAATACAGTGTCATTTGGTCTATAAATAATTCAGTAGGTACCATTAACAAGTAAGGACTTTTTAAGATTTATTTTGTTTATTTGAAAGGCAGAGTTAGAGAGAGAGAGAAGGAAAGAGAAGGAAAGAGAGAGAAAGAAAGAAAGAGAGAGAGAGAGAGAGAGAGAGAGAGAGAAAGAGAGAGAGAGAGACGATCTACCTTCCTTCTGCTGGTTCACTCCCCAAAAGGCTGCGATGGCCAGGGCTAGGACAGGCTGAAGCCAAGAGCCAGGAGCATTTAAGTGTTTCCTAGTCTTTTATACATCTCATGTTTTGTTCTTGTCCAGTGATTTCTGGGACAGACTCCCCGCAGGGAACTGCTGTCCCATGAGAGAAAGCGTAGGCCACCTCATTCACGATTGCCCCCAACACGAGGTCTTCTTCCCAGGCACAGCATGTTCTCCAAACCTTGTTTTTTCTGAATCTATTGGCAAGAAACAGATCTTTCCTTTTTTTTTTTTTTTAAGATTTTTATTTATTTATTTGAGAAGAAAGAGCTACATACACAGAGAGAGAGAGAGAGAGAGAGACAGAGACAGAGACAGAGGGAAAGGTCTTCCATCTGCTGATCCACCCCCCAAGTGGCTGCAACGGCTGGAGCTGGGACAATCTGAAGTCAGGAGTTTCCTCCAGGTCTCCCATGTGGGTGTACAGGCCTGAGCACTTGGGCCATCTTCCACTGCTTTCCCAGGCCATAAGCAGAGAGCTGGATTAGAAGACGAGCAGCCGGGACATGAACTGGTACCCATATGGGATGCCAGTGCTGCAGGCAGAGGCTTAGCCTACTACGCCACAGCAATGGCCCCAGGTTGAAGATGTATTTATTTGAAAGGTGTAGCGACAGAGAGGGCGAGGCAGAGAGAGAGAGGGTGAGGCAGAGCGAGCGAGCGAGCGAGCTCTTTCCTATTGCTGGTTCACCTTCCAAATATATACAACAAGTGGAGCTGAAGCTACCAGCCAGGAACTCTATCCAGGTTTCCCATGTGGGTGGCAGGGAGCATGGGCCATCCTCTTCTATCTTCTGAGGGCATTAGCAGGGAGTTGGATCAGAAGCAGAACAGCTGAGACGTGAACTGGGGCTCCAATATGGGATGCCGGTGGCTTAACCTGCTGCGCCACAATGCTGGCCCCAAGAAGTGACTTTCATGCTAAGATTTTCCACACAAACTGCAAGTAAGGGACCTTTTACTACTTTTTTTTTTTTTTTTTTTTTTGACAGGCAGAGAGAGAGTTATAGACAGTGAGAGAGAGACAGAGAGAAAGGTCTTCCTTCCATTGGTTCACTCCCCTAATGGCCACTTTGGCCAGCACTGCGCCAATTCAAAGCCAGGAGCCAAGTACTTCCTCCTGGTCTCCCATGCGGGTGCAGGGCCCAAGCACTTGGGCCATCCTCCGCTGCCTTCCCAGGCCACAGCAGAGAGCTGGACTGGAAGAGGAGCAACCGGGACTAAAACCCAGGGTGCTGGTGCCACAGGTGGAGGATTAGCCAAGTGAACCACGGCACCAGCCAGGACCTTTTACTTCTAACTCTTAAAATCTTGGTTAAAAGAGATCACAGGAAAGAGCAAGTGTAAAGTGCGATACTGCAGCAGAATCTTGCCCCTCACACACAAAGAGGGCAGGAGGAGACAGGGAGTCCTGACCATCCTCCAGCCGGACTTTCACTCCCAGACAGCACTGTGACGCAGACTTGGAGAAAGACCCTGGACTGAACCGCATGTTCCCTCTAGATGGGCCCTCCGAGCCCACAACATCTACTTGGGTGGATGCAATTCATTTCTTTGTGCCATGATTTTAGGTCCTGCTCTTAAATTCTCTCCACCCACAAGAGTAAATAAGATACCCTCAGGGAGTAAGTCCTGTGAGAGAAACGGGGAACAGAATAAGGCTATGACAGCTACGGTAGAAATTTCTAAGCAAAGCTGAATCCAAGCATAAGCCACTCCATCTCGCAAAATTCCAATATGAAGCCAGACCGACCTTTAGGAAGAGAGGGCACTGGTTCTGAGCCTGGGGACATGAAGACCAGAACCACTGGGGGAGATTCTCGGCTTTGGCAGTTGACACGAAATACCCCAGGGCCAGCGGCTGCTGCTTGAGCTCCTCGGGGGCTTCTCTGGAGAGGAGACGCTCACCCTGACTCTGAAAAACAAAGTCCCAGAGGCACAGTCAGCACTGTCGTGAAGCTCCAGAGCTGGCTGCACGCTGTCGTGAGTGACCCCCCTCCGCAGCGTCACTCACAACGCCAGACAACAGAGAAGGCATCCCCTGTGAGCACGCAAGCTGGAACTCAGAAGACACCAGCGAAACCAGCAACACGCACTCGAGTGAGTGCAGGCTGATCTGCTCCGAGTTCTCTTCCACAGGACGCGGACTCTGCCCCTGGCATTATTAGGCACCACACTCGGGTGGAAAGGCTCTGGCACACTCATGGGCTCTTTCGCCAGCCACCGACCAGAGACACGAGCGCCCTGACTGTGCACCATCAACCTCTGTGGATCAGGAAACTGTCAAAACCGTGCACCAAGGCGGCGGCTGTGCCGGTGCCATGGCCCTGCCAGCAGCGCAGGATCCGCTCAGCAGCAGGCCAGGTTTGAACGCGTGGCGACCCCTCGGTAAGAGGCTCTGCACATTCTGCACTGACATTTTCCTCCTGCTTAGTTCTTCAAGAACGGAAAACGCACCTGTCCTGTAAGCTGTAACAAGCAACCTGTTTTTAAAAGCCTTCTGTTAAAAGGGGGAAAAAAGTCCTCAACTACTACATCAAATTGTTATCATTTCTGAGCTAGTTAAAAAAGAAAAATTTACGGTTCCACCTTGAACAAATTCTGTTTCCTGTTGTAATGTCCTAACTGAATATCAAGGAATGTTCAATGCTAACGCACCCTGGAGGTCACCTGGCTGCAGGTGCTCAGGATTGAGAGACACCTGGCTAGGTTTGCAGCAGCACTGTGTAAACGGTGATGGTGCCATTCGATTAAAGACTTCAGGGCCTGAGGCTCCAACAATGGCAGAAAATACAGCACACTTCCATTTCTTATAAAATACTACATTTCAATTACCACCTTTTTTTGGTTAATGGATAATCTGAATTACAGTGACAGATACTGGGAGGCTGTTGCTGTTATTTCCGTTTCACTGACATGGTAACTAAGAAAGGAGGAAGAAGCTTCGAGGTCACCAAGCTAGCTCAGGCAGACATCTTCATCAGATTCCAGGGCAGGCCTTCACAGCTGCTCCGTTCCTTGTCGCCAGAATTCACACTAACCCAAATTTAAAGCTCTCCTATGTAAAATAGGTGGTTTTGGTTCTCATCACAATAACCTCCAATCAACAAATGTCACTGTCAGACAGCTGTAAGGCAATACAGACAGAAGGCTGACGGGGGCAGCTCGTAACACAAGGGCTGTCTCTGCGCACTTTCCCTGGCTTCACCTGCTCTGTGACTAAGCTTTAAGTCTGCTTTCTCGTGATCATCCTTCAATTAATTCAGCACTAGCAATGGAAGTCCCACCTGGCAGAAGCCTAAGTACTTTAAGTCCATCTTAGTGTCTGAATAACTGAGTGTGAGCAGGTTGCTTCCACTTGCTCGGTTTAAGACACTACACACAGCTACGTTTCTATGTCTTAGCCCCTTAATCTCCTGGCATTTTAAATACAAAGAACAATACAGTGATGAGGCATGAAATCGTCAAACTGAAACAAAGTGAACACAAGCTATCGCAGAACCTTTTAACTCTTAAATCTTCTGCTAATCCACCTCCAATATCCCTGGGATATTTAAAGATGAAACTAGTCGTAAGCTCTGCCTTTTCCCTTAATACTCTGGCATTAACCTGGACATTCCTATAAAATCAGCCTCCTGATGGCTCCTGCTGCTCCTGCAGGCTGGCTACAGAGACCAGGACTGCATAAATGAAGGCATAGAACATGCAACAGGCAGAATCGGGCTCCTCTAGGAAAAGCGACCCTCAACAATGTGTTCTTCAATGAATAGCTACTGTGCATGCTAAATAAACAGGGATGTTGAACTAGTCCCTTAAAAGCCACTATTTTGGCCAAAATAAAGAATACAAAAACTTGGAAGCAGCAAACAAGAAAAACTAATTTTTCCTAAGAAAACTGCATAAAACCCCTGCTTTCTATATCATCATTCTTCTGTTAAAATCATTCATCAGAAATAAGTAGACATTTCTTTCAAATTCCTGCCTTTTATTCAAATTGGAGTGACTGCTGAGTACTTCTCCATTCTTATTTCTCTTGTACCAGGGACCTACAGCAGCATCAGAAAGAGGTGTGCACGTAGTAAAAAGATGAGCAGACATCTCGAGGATGACCGTTCCTTGCAACCATCCTTACCCGACTGTGCTGGAAGTGAGAGCCCACACCAATGCCAGAGGGAGAACCTGGGGACGGAACTGGGGATGAGTTGGGAGAGGAATGGAGGTTCCCAGTCATTAAGATGCCTATGTCATTGTCCATATCATCCGGGAAGGGAAGGTCCACAAACATATCATCTAGAAGAGATGGGGAAAAAAATCACAGAAATTAAAAAGTTAGCCCAGTATCGTGTTTTGCAACCCCATGACTGTCATGGACACACTATTCACAAGTCAGTAAGACTGAATGTCTATGGTGTGCCAGGTGCTACAGATTACTCTTTAATTTTCTCTCCAATCATTTCCTAATGTGAAGTAGTAACAGAATGAAGAAATAAAGAGTTATAAAATAAAGCCTCAGTCTATACAGCCACCAAGGGCATATATAAAGATGGCAGAGAGTGAAAGAAGCAAGTTACTAAACAAAGTTAACGTTGACATCAATGAAGAACACAGTAGACTCCATCTGTACATTTAATCAGTATCCAAAATACTGGAGGCTGAATGAATGCGTAGCAGTGGGTACAAATTTAGGCTGAAACTGGAATCCTATTCAAAGACAGCTTGAAGCACCATGTTTTCATTAAGAAATTCTCTTAATGAAAGCTCTGGGCTCCTGGCTTCAGACCAGCTCACCTCCGGCCATTGTGGCTGTCTGGGAAATGAACCAGTGGATAGACCTCTCTCTCTGTCTCTCCCTCTCTCTGTCTGTAACTCCACCTCTCAAATAAATAAAACCTTAAAAAAAATCAAGTAGGGAGCAGCTCTATAGCAAGAAGAAGCTAGAAGAAGGTGCTGTCTTCACACTACCTAGGACTTTGCACATGTTAAATCAGGTCAACAAGGACTTATTGAAAGAGTAGCACCCAGGTCACAGCCAGGAAGATATTATTTTTGCCTCTAACATAAAAGCAGAAAAAGTTAATTACCTAACAGAAGAAAGTACTTAGTTTTGGTAACAGTACAAATTAACTGAAGCTTTGAAACCAAAACATTCTCCAATGTTCACTCCTCTTCCTATTCCACATGTTATTACCACACAGAAAAACTTGCACAGCCCACTGACTGCAGACTTTAGCTGTGTCCTGTTTATGAAAGGGCACATTATCCATACAGTATCTTCCACTCACCGTTGTTGGGGCTAAACCCATCTTCATTGGGATAATTGGCTGGAGCCACCTGGATGGTTGACGATGTTGGGAACACCAAGATGTGTGTACAAGAAGCATCTTGGGGGGTGTTAAGCTGAGATGACTGCATGTTCAGTGCAGTACTTCGGCCAAAAACAGAGCCCATGGTCACAGCATCTTAAAAACAAAGGAGAAGCCGTGTCAGTCCCCCTGTGCTGTGGTGAAGAGACCAGGAGATGAGGTTTTCACAGAGCCTGACCTGAGTGTTGTGAGTCTAACCAAGCAGTCACAACGGACACGCATCATAGTTGAGCCCAATGGTCCAAATGTCTTCAAAGAAACTGACATGGATCGTGTAGCTTTGATAACTCAAGTCTCATTCCAGACCAGCAAGGTTAAGCTTAAATTGGAACAAGTCCACTGAATATGTTTTACTTACACAGAAAGGATTTCTAAAAATAAGTCCCCCCTTTATCTCCTCCTGCGGTCGCTCGCAGTTTCTGAAGTTCTGTCCTCCTAAAGAGCCAGAGCCTCACGGAAACGGTGCTGCGGCATCAGTGACCGCTGTGCCCAACACTGAGTGCTCTCTACGCCAGCTTCGGTGCTGAGCTCTCTATCCAAGCCACCTCATTCCACCACTCCTCGAGGTAGAGACGGCATCCTCGCCTCACAGATGAGGACAGCAGCACAGGGAAGTTACCTGAGCGCCCAAGTAGTTGAGACAAGAGAAGTGGCTGCAGGTGTAGTGAGCAGGCCAGCGTAAGACATCTGCTGCTCGCTGGACTCACGACCACACCTGTTCTCGTCCACAGCACTACTGACTTTCACAAGCTATCAGCAGTCTCCCACTGGACCAAAGAATACAGCAGCCCTTTCCTTAACTGTCGTTTTGCTTTCTATACTTGCAGTTATCTGTATTCAACTGCGGCCCAAACATTTAAACTGACAATTCCAGAAATAAACTGTGTCCCGTTTTAAGCAACCTAATGAACTCTCTTGCTGCCCCGGGACAAGGATCATCCCCAAGCCCACAGTGGGATGACCCTATGTCACAATGCCCATGGCATTCACCTCATTTCATCTCATCGTGTAGGTGTTGGATCACCTCACCTCACAACGGGAAGAAACCTGTACCACAGGTATGTATGTATGTACAGGGAAAAGCCGTAGACACAGGTTCAGTACTGTCTGAGGTGTCAGGTACCCTTGGTGGGGAGGAGGGGTCTTTACAAGTATCTGCCCAGGAGAAGGAGGGACTACTCCGTTTGGATGGTAACGTATAAAACTGCTGCTGGGTTGCTGTTTTTCAAAAGCCAGCCCAGTTTCTGTAAGATGCTGTGGACACACGTTGCGACTGTCCACAACTGGCACTTCCATTTATTGAGGGCTTACTGTGTGCCAGACCCTGTGTTAAATGCTTTACTTGTATCTGCCTCACCATTCATCCTCGAACATATCAGAGTAACTGAGTATCTTTTTATGGTTGCTGAGAGGTTCTGTCAAAAACCTGCCTTCAGAAGGGTGTTCAAATATTGATCATGCTGGTGTGTATTGCAGTGTTTTCTGAAGGGTGATATTCATGTACTAATGAGAAATCGGGATTTGGGAACGAGCGGTCATTAGCCAAGACTCTAAGAGCTCTCAATCACAGCCAGAACTCAAGTCTCTGTCCCAAGCTATCACAGACTGCTTCCCTTGGAAGAAATAGAAAATGTTTCTGCATTTGAGCCCAAAGTATAATTTTCTCTTATGCAGATCTAATAACACAATGTATTCCACGCCTGCCTGTAGACTGGAGGTGCCTAATGAACGACACGGACAAGAGGATGTTTACCTGGCATCACTACAAAGGACCCCTGGGGCTCCATGGCAACCAGGCAGGCACTAAGGATTGAAGGAGAGTCTGCGGCAGAGATGCCACACATGCGGCACACATCCTTGAGCTGCTTGCTGATTGTCTGTAGTGAACATTCTCCAAGGAGGATACTCCAATCTGAAATCAGACATTGCAGTCACACAGTCTTTAGAAATTCATACTTAGGTGAGGATGGAAATTTTCACCAATTTTGCCCAGTAATTGAATTTTCCATAATTGGACCCTAAAGGGAATGTGTCTTTCCACAGGTTCCCCTCTTTGCTATAAATAAAATGTCACTTGACTTCCACCACACTTCATCAACAAAGAAACAAAGGCTGAAGTCACGCTAGCAACTACCTCTGAGAGTCCTGCACAGACCCATGCGGACTTAGGCATTAAGATGCTGTTCACCACAGAGGCCAGTGTTACCCCAGCCTTGCTCCTCCTCCTCAAGGACTCGGCCTTCTCTGGATGAGAGCACAGCGTGGGGGAGCCTCTGTCTCGTCTACTGTTGTAGTTCAGCTGCTTCCACACAAGGCAAACAGTCCCAGAAATGGGGGCGGGGGGGGGTCCATTCTGAGTGCCCCACGGAGTGCATAAATGCTCCCAATGTGACTCAGATTAAACAGTCGGCAAAGCTTTTCTTTCTAATGTTTGTTTGTTGCCTCCAAACACAAGCATTATGTTTTATCAGAGTGCTGTTAGGGTTGCTACTCTGGGGAGAGAGAAGCATTTAGTCTCTTCTTCTTTTTTTTTGACAGGCAGAGTTAGACAGTGAGAGAGAGACAGAGAGAAAGGTCTTCCTTCCGTTGGTTCATCCCCCAAATGGCCGCTACGGCCAGAGCTACACCGATCCGAAGCCAGGAGCCAGGTGCTTCTTCTGGTCTCCCATGCGGGTGCAGGAGCCCAAGCACTTGGGCCATCCTCCACTGCACTCCTGGGCCACAGCAGAGAGCTGGACTGGAAGAGGAGCAACCAGGACTAGAACCCACGGTGCCAGCGCCGCAGGCGGAGGATTAGCCTAGTGAGCTGTGGCGCCGGCCGTAGTCTCCTCTTTTGGCTTCCTGACACACAGGAGGCTTGTGCTACTCCTGTGTGGGCATTCTTGTCAGGTTGTGTCAAAAAAAAGGTACCTCTTCCCCTTCAAGAGTAAGTGAATGGGAAAATGTGCTCCTATTCCTAAAGAATTTCCTGCTGAAGTGGCTGTAAAGAAGCGGTGAGCAATGTGAAGACTCTGTTTCAAAACCGCACAGACAGATGTAAGCGTCCACACTTCAAACTAAGGAAGAAGGAAAGCGCAGTGTGAGTGTTTCATCACACCCATCTGGAGGTAAGGGTAGAAACGGAAATCGAAGGCTGTGAGCGGCCACTGCCTCACAGGACTCCACGTGGCACGGACCTCAGGTGCCCCACGGGGAGCAGCTGAAGATCGGTAAACAGATGGCCTGTGCACTAGGTTCTCCCTGGGTTTTTATTACTGAAAGAAGATTCTTCTCTCAATCTTTTGACAGGCTCTTCTAGTCACACTTCCATTCTTCTCCTCTAAGAGATAAGAAAGAAGAATGCCCGCTCTACAATCACACAAGGGAAGGAGATGGCCCTACTCCTCTTCCAACGCTCCATGTGACTGGACTGCTGTACTACCTTCTTATCCCCCGTCTGCTGCTCTATTATATCCTAACTTTCCCCATGGGTTAGAACAGCTCAGAGCCTTTAAAGAAATAAGATTGACGAGAAAGCAGATAAGGGAGGAAGATAGGAATTCCGACAGAAATGAAATGAATCCTCTAATGTATTACCCTCCAGGCTATTGATACAGGATTCATTATAAGTATGAAATTCTCTAAAAAATGAAAAAGGTCATATTTTCTATCAGTGTATAAAAAAGCTTACTACTAAAAATTTTTGTGTACAATAGATGCCTAAGAAAACACTATCAACATATAGTATGTAGTATGTGCATCACTGCTGTTGAGCCCTGGCCTCTGAAACATATCTCAATTGTAGTGTGGGAAGTAGGCTATATTTTGGCATTTCTTACAACGCAAGTTATACCTGGGTCAATGCTTTTATTCTGTGGATTCCACAAATGCTCCAAATCAAATTTATGTAATGTTATTATTTATATACTTTTTTTGACAGGCAGAGTTAGACAGTGAAAGAGAGAAAGGTCTTCCTTCCATTGGTTCACCCCCCAAATGGCTACCAAGGCCAGCACACTGCACCAATCTGAAGCCAGGAGCCAGGCGCTTCCTCCTGGTCTCCCATGTGGGTGCAGGGCCCAAGCACTTGGGCCATCCTCCACTGCCTTCCAAGGTCACAGCAGAGAGCTGGACTGGAAGAGGAGCAACCGGGACAGAACTGGAGCCCCAACCGGGACTAGAACCCAGTGTACTGGTGCCGCAGGCAGAGGATTAGCCTAGTGAGCCATGGCGCTGGCCATTTATATACTTTTAATGCAGGGTTGGGGAAACTATGGTCTACAGCTCAAATTCCACCTAACTACCTGTTTTTGTAAATAAAGTTTTATTAACATAACTGCCCCCACTGATTTCAGTATTGTGTATGGTAGCTTTGACATTATAATGGTAGAGCTGAGTAGCTGTAATAGACTATGATCTGCAAAATGGAAAAATATTAACTAGCTGGCCTTTTACAAATACTTTGCTGACTCTGCTTGAATATTTGCACACAGGAAATCAGCAAGCCAATTTGTGACATTAAGTTTTGCTTTTGTGCAGGGAAAAGGCTTTTCTGCATCTATGTGTATCTATTGAACTTACAAATGTGCCATCAATTAATAAAGCTTTAAAAAACAACCCTGGCCGATTCACATTACTTACATAAACTGCACAAGTAGCTGTGCTGTGCTATCCTACAGGAGCCAGGCTCAGAGCCGGGCAAGACAGCGGGTGGTGGTCAGCTGTGTTGTGACAGTTACTTAGCACTTCTTTACAGTTATATTTGTGACAAGGAATTTAAGTGGTGATAGCTATTAGTTGGGAATCCAAATTTTGAAATTTGGGGTCAGGTGTATAGTTAAGACACTGCTTAGGACACCTGTATCCACAATGGAGTGCCTGGGTTTGAGTCCCAGCCCTGCTCCCAATTCTAGCTGCCCATGTGCACCCTTGGAGGTGACAGTCAAGTACTTGGGTCCCTACCACCCACATAGGACTGAGTTTCTGGCCCCAGTTTTGGCTTGGGCCAGCCCAAGCAGCTGCTGGCATTTGGAAAGTGAACCATTAGATGGGAGAACTTTGTCTCTCATTGCCTTTCAAAAACAAAAACAAAAGTGTTCTTTTAAAGCCTTCAGGCTGGAAAATGCCAGACACTGGCAATGTGAATAAAAACTGCTCCTGTTTACAACTACTCGTCCTCACGAAACAGGATTTTCTTTCTACTATGCCACCAAAGCAAACTAGCACCTACCACCAAACACATTAATTCAAAGTTGTTCTTATGTGTAACTTCAATTATCATCTACAACCACTAATATAAATTTATCTTAAAACTGCCTCATTCTCACCGCCTCAATATATAAATGTTAGAAATCTGGATTTATCAAGTTATCATTTTTATACTAATAAAACTTTTTTCTGTATTATGTATTGGGGTTATATAGTTAAGATTTTATTTGGATAAATAGTTTTGTTGCTAAACCAAAGTTTAAAAACTACTGGTTTATCCTGTACCTGTAAAAAAATAAAATAAAACATAGGCTGATTTATTCCTACTACCAACAGTAACATTTTCTCCAGTTGTCCAGTTAATGACATTAGCTCAATACTTCTTTGTCTCCAGTACACTCTGCTCCAGGAATTTCTCACCTTTAAGCTCCCCGTGGCCAAGCCGCCCAAGTCGCCCAATTACAACTCTCCAGGGTAGAGATGTCATTTGGACAATCCCTATGCACCATTCCCACAACTTTTGAAGTCCAATTTTACGTGCAGAAACTTTACTTCTCCGTGACCTAAAAAAAAAAAAGGGGGGGTGGGGTGGGGTGGGGGAGATCCCTAAATGAAGCAAAGTTACTACTTAATAAGACAAACACAAGGGTAGGTGTGTTTGGTGCAGTGGTTAAGATGCTGCTTGGTACACCCACATCCCATATCAGAGTGCCTGGGTTCAAGTCCCAGCTCTGCTTCTGATCCAGTTTCCTGCTAGCATACACCCTCAGAGACAGAGGCGATGGCTCAAGGACCCGGGTCCTTGTCACCCACATAGGAGACCCAGATTGAATTCCCAGCTTGCAGCTTAGACCCAGCTGCTATATTTGAGGAGTGAACCAGCAAATGAAAGATCTCTATCTCTTTGCCTTTCAAATAAACATAAATAAATAAATATTAAATTAAAATAAATACAAGAAAATTCCAAAGAGCCTACCCATGCAGTACCCATTAAGATGGAAAGATTCACATTTGAGAACAGGCACAGCATCAATTTACATGCACCGTAAACATCAAGGTTTCTCACCGGTTTGGTAAAGCAATATTTACAACGCAGGTCTCTAATAATTCTCCATGGAGGTCAGTGCAGGAAGCCAAAAGCCAGCGCTGGTCATGAGACAGACAGTAGCCCACAAAGAGCACGTTGTATTTCTGGCTCGCCTCGCCCAACGTCTCTCCCAGCTCTGTCTGTTTGTCTTTGATTGGGGCCAATATAAAGGGAGGGGAGTAAAGTTGGATTGGGCTAGGGCGCTGAAAACAAAATCAAAATCAGTATCAACACAAAGACATCCAAATTAATGTTTCAACAAACCCAGACAGAGCAACACTGAAGAGAACCACCAGGAAGTAAGGACAATAGGCTGTCTCTCTCTAATACTGTATATATTAATAGTGATGATGACACAGGTAACAAAAAGTCTGTTAAAATTATATACACTAGGAAGTTCAATTGTGTCAATATTTCCTTAGTCAAAGGAATTACTATTTTAGAAAGTGAATTTGTCCAATTTCATTAGTCATCATGAAGGTGGAAATTGAAAACACAATAAGATAACTCCACATACCCAACAGAATCTTGAAAATTAAAAGAAAATACCAAGTGTATGTAAGACTGTTGAGCAACTACAGCCTGCAAACACTAATGGTGGTGTCCCTTTGGAACAGTGTTCAACGTAACTGCTTCAGCTGAACCAACACATACACATCTGTGTATGTCGACCAAAGCACAGGCCTAAGAATATTCACAACAGTGACAGTCAGCGTAAGCTCCAGACTGAAAATAATCTAAACTCCCATCACCAGTAAAATGGATGATATATTGTGATCCTGTCACACAATCAAAATATCAGAGAGAATGAAAAATGTACAACTCTAAGCAATAAAACCAGTGAGTAAAAGAAGACACATAAGAACATAAAATATATGATTAAGTCCATAAAGGTCAAAAACAGGCAAAACTATGTTGTTAGAGGTCGGAATACCGATTAGCATCAGAGAGACTGGAAAGGGACATCAGGGGCTTCTGAATGTTGGTTGTTTTGTTTCCTGTGTTTGCCACTTTATATGTTTATTTAGTAACCATTCACCAAGTTGTACACTTAAAATTGAATATTTTTGGCACACATATTATATTTTAATATGAGTATGTGTCATTTTAGAAATCAAGGCATTAACTGTTGCCCAAGATAATTCTTTAGCTAAACTATGACAGAGTTTAATTGCCGTTTGTGTTTATAGCTATCATTTATATCTGAGTATTTAATGAACTACAGCACACATCTGTAAAGAACCAGATAGTAAAGTCTAGACTTTATGGATTTGTCACATATTTGTCTCTTTTTAAAAATGTAATAATTGGGGCCAGCCCTGTGGCACAGTGGGTTAAAGCCCCAACCTGCAGCCGCCAGCATCCCATACGGGTGCCAGTTCAAGTCCCGGCTGCTCCTCTTCTGATCCAGCTCTCTGCTATGGCCTGGGAAAGCAGAAGATGGCCCAAGTCCTTGGGCCCCTGCACCCGCATGGGAGACCCAGAAGCTGCTCCTGGCTCCTGGCTTCAGATCAGCTCAGCTCTGGCCGTTGTGGTCATTTGGGGAATGAAACAATGGAATGGAAGACCTCTCTCTCTCTCTCTGGCTCTATTTCTCTTTGTAACTCTTTCAAATAAATAAAATAAATCTTTTAAAAAATGTAATAATCACTCTTACCTAATTGTCCATACAAGTACAGTTTGCAAGCTAGGTTTAACCCACAGCTATACTTACTTACACCAGAATTATACAGAAAAGGACACAGTAATAACAGAATAACAGAGTTTTAAAGCTAAAAGACACTCTGGAAATAAGCTAATCCAATTCACTCATTTTAGGGATTCAAAACACTGGCTGAAAAATATCTATCATTAATCTATTCAATCTCCATAACCCTGAAATTCCACTCTTGGGTATTTACTGAAACAACTGAAAACATATGTCCGTACAAAAATTCTGTACAGTTATACACTGCATAATTTTAATCAACAACAGACCATATGACAATTATCCCATAACATTATATGACCTAGTGATGCTGTAGTCTTCTAAGTTTTATGTAAGGATATGTTGATGTTCTTACAATAACAAAAAAATCTACTGACAGATTTCTCAGATTATTAAATGACAACGAAGATGCACAAATGTTCACAATATTCACAAGAGGCAAAGAGTGGAAACAAGTCAAATGTCTACCAGCTAACGAATGAATAAAGACAACACTGTATACCCATATAATTGAGTATTATTCAGCTAGAAAAAGAAACTGATTCATGCTATGGTGGGGATCAACATTATATTAAATTAAAAAAACCCGAGACATAAAAGATCCCATGTTGTCTGATTCCATTTATGTGAAATGTTCGGAACACGCAACTCCACAGAGATGCAAAGTGAACTAGTGGTTGGGTTAAGCTGCCACCTGCGACACTGGCATCCCATATGGGCACCAGTTTGAGTCCTGGCTGCTCCACCTCTGATCCAGCTCCCTGCTATGCACCTGGGAAAGTAGCAGAAGATGGCCCAAGTGTTTGGGCCCCTGCACCCAAATGGGAGACCTAGCTGGAGTTCCATACTCCTGACTTTGACCTGGCACAGCGCAGCACAGCCACTGCAGCCATTTGAGGCGTGAACCAGTGGATGGAAGATCCCTTCCACCTGACCCCCTCATCCCACTCCAAGTAACTCTGCCTTTCAAAGAAATAAATAAACCTTAAAGGGAGAAAGGGAGAAAGGGAGAAAGGGAGAAAGGGAGAAAGGGAGAAAGGGAGAAAGGGAGAAAGGGAGAAAGGGAGAAAGGGAGAAAGGGAGAAAGGGAGAAAGGGAGAAAGGGAGAAAGGGAGAAAGGGAGAAAGGGAGAAAGGGAGAAAGGGAGAAAGGGAGAAAGGGAGAAAGGGAGAAAGGGAGAAAGGGAGAAAGAAAGAAAGAAAGAAAGAAAGAAAGAAAGAAAGAAAGAAAGAAAGAAGAAAGAAAGAAAGAAAGAAAGAAAGAAAGGAAGGAAGGAAGGAAGGAAGGAAGGGAAGGAAGGAAGGAAGGAAGGAAGGAGGAAGGAAGGAAGGAGAGAGGGAGGAGAGAGGGAGGGAGGGAGGGAGGGAAGGAAGCAGGGAGAGAGGGAGGGAGGGAGGGAGGGAAGGAGGGAAGGAAGGAGAGAGAGAGGGAAGGAGAGAGGGAGGGAAGGAGAGAGGAAAAGAAGAAAGGAAGGAGGGAAGGGAGGGAAGGGAGGGAAGGAAGGAGGGAAGAAAGGAGGGAGGGAGGGAGGGAAGGAAGGCAGACAAAGAAAGGGAGAGAAAGAAACAAAGATCCCCAGGGAAAACAGGATCACTAAACTTTTTGAGATGCTAGATACTCCAGTATCTAGCATTCTGTTACACCAGTAACAGAATCTCTTCAGAAATCCTACATGATTCTAAGAGGCACTCTTTCTTATGTGATAATATTCTTAAAAACAATGTCAGCCCAGATAATCAGAGCTCCACTGAAGAAGTAGGGACTTGGCCATGTGTTCACCACTGCATCCTCTACATCTACTGTAAGGTGAACAACCCTGATTTGAATCTTCAGAAGCTGATATGCTCCAAAATCCTAATTTTAGAGCACAAATGTTATTTGACACCAGGATAGAAAATTGCACACCATGAGACTTTGTTTCATGCCCAAATTTTTAAAAATGTTATGTAAAGTTACTTTCAGGCTATGTGTAGAAGGCATATTTGGAACATAAAATAATTTCATGTTTAGACTCGGGTACCATTCCCAAGATATCTCACTATGTACATGCAAGTGTTCCTAAATAAAAAAACGAAACACTTCTAGTCCTGGAAATTTCAGACAAGGAACACTCAGCCTGCCCAGCACCTGGTGCCCAGCAGACGCTCAGCTGCATTTATGAATGAAAACTGCCCACAGAAGCTGAGGCAGCACCGACCAAACAACCATTCCCTTAATGCAGTCAAAACTCATACATTTCAGCCAATAATTGTAACAATTGGCTCTTTTGTTTTTAATACATTAAAATGACTTACATTTTTCTTTCTTTCCAAGTAAAAGGGGGAAAAAGCATATTTCTTGAGGGGTATTATGCCATTTATTTTAATCTAAGCCTCCTTTTTCTTCATGAGTTTCTGATGGTATTCTGCCAGCATATTACAATCTGTTAAAATGTTTTATAATGCCTTGGGATATCTTAAGAGCAGATAGTTAGCCTTTAATCTCCACTATGAAAATGGAGAATACTATTAGTTGTGATTTGAAAGTGTGATCACTTCTTACTAAAGCACGAAGAAATGACTGCGTGTGGACTGCAGAATAACCACACAAGTACAGAACTGAAGGACTCTTTATAAACACAGGCAACAATTCATAACAATTCATAAAAAAACTTTCAGACAAAAGAAGAAACAGGTAGAGACAAATTTAGTTTTTAAATTTTAGAAAAACCTAACAGAGAAAATGAATTGCTCACAAAAGTGAAAAATTCAAACGGAAAAAAAAAAGCCAAAAATCGATATTTTATTCAACCCCAGAATGAATACAGTTCATCATCTGAGTAGCCTTCTCCCTTGGGAGTTACGACAAACAGAATAGTAACTCCTTGCATATCATGTTTCCAAGCTTTTACTTGTAAAAAGGATACACATTTCACAGTTTTCCAGGGAAGCTGACATTACCAACCAGCATCCGCAGTTGCTGGTGTTTGTCAGAAGCTTTCTTACGAGGAAGAGGTGGGCTTTTATTAAGGGCAACCTCTCCTACCAAAAACTTGTGGGGACTGAGTCTTGAAGGCTTTGAAAATTCTAAACATTGTCTTGTACCTTTCAAGATGACTGGAAAAACAAAGGAAGTCAAACTTTTGTTGAAAAAGTGTTTTGTTTTGGTGTTTGAAACTCCCCTTGCGGTACACACACGGCTGTGGGAGGCAGGTCTAAGAGAGAGAGGCAGAGCCCTGGTTCTGCGCAGCAGCGCTGGGAGCGGACAGGAGAGCACTCCAGCAGGCGAGGGGCCATGCGGAGCAAACGCCGGTACGTCTGCCCTCTCAGACACAAATCAGAGCCAGGAAGGCACACATTTTTGATTGAAGACACAGATTAGCTTAGAAAAATAGCAGATTTAGGGAATTCAAACATTATAACCAAAAGTGATAGGTATGTTGTTGCCTTAGGTCTTACAACAAAAAACAGCAAGAGCTTGCTTGTTTCTTTTCTCAAAAAACTGCAAGTTCAGAGAAGTCTCTTCTCTGTTTTAACTTAAGGATTCAAGAAACCTACTGACTCTCCTACCAATGTAGAGGCCAACCAAGCACTATTTGGGCTAGATTCAACACTCTCTTGGCTTGCATTTTCAGTATAAAAGGTGTGCCTTTTGCACCTCTGTGCCTTGCCAATACTCACCTCAGGGTTCTTGAGAGTCATCTCCATGCTGGCTGCAGGCCCAAACCCTGTGAGGGACTTAATGTGGATCTGTGTAGGCAGAGGCCGCCTGCACTGGCAGTACACTGAAAACGCCATGGACTTCAAGTACTGAATGTAGAAAACTTGCTCATCCTTCATTGTCTGCAGCATGTACTGGCAAGGCACAATCTGAAGACACACATTTTAAAACAAAGAAAACTGAGATCTAATATACTAAAAAGAAAGTTGGAGAATCAAACAACATGAATTTATGATGTGAGTTGGGGGAGGGAATTTTAGTTTTAAAATATAAATGTTCAACAAAATATAATTAAATCCTAATTCCTTCCAGTGGCATAAAATGCTGTATCTCAAATGTATACCCATAATTTAAGAGGTATCATTACATTGGTCAGGTCACTAGGAAATGACCTTGTTCCCATTCTAGGGGTAAATTCTTAAAGTATTATTGTCAAGGTCTCAAAACTTAAAAACTCACATTTTAATATATTTTACCTTTCTATGAATACATAGAGTACCATGAAGTCTTTGGAATTATTGTCTAATCTTTGGAACATCAACTTCAAAACAATAAAAACTATCAAAATCTATTCTGATCACTTTGATTTCAATCATTTAACTCTATAGGACAGTTTTAGTTAAAGTGACTTTAAAACAAAATTCAGGTGCTGGCACCATGGTGAGTAGGTTAATCCTCCGCCTGCAGCCCCAGCATCCCACATGGGCGCCGGTTGTGGTCCCGGCTACTTCTCTCCCAGTCCAGCTCCCTGCTGTGGCCTTGGGAAAGCAGTGGAAGATGGCCCATGCACTTGGGCCCCTGCACCTGTGTGGCAGACCCAGAAGAGGCTCCGGACTCCTGGTTTCAGATCGATGCAACTCCAATTGCTGTGGCCATCTAGGAGTTAGCCAGCGAGAGGGGAAGACCCTTCTGTCTTTCCCTCTCACTGCCTATAACTCTACTTCTCAAATAAATAAATAAAATCTTAAAAAAAAAAGAGAAAAACCAAACAAAAACAAAATTCAAACACTCACTTAAATGAAGCATTTTTTAAATGTATTACACTGTAACCTTGGCAAAGGGGCAGTAAAAATAAGCATATTCAATCACTGCTGAAAGGAAAGTGTACATGTAACATTTCTGGAAAGAAAACTGGTGATATTTGATATTATCAGCCTCTACATCTAAAAATCCACTTTAAGAATGATCTGAAACATGATAAGAAAGATTATATCTAAACAGGCTTACTATGACTTTATTTATAACAGTGAGAAAGTACAGATAAATATCTAACTATCCAACAATGATTAAATATGGAAAATGTGCAGTCATTAAAATGTTTTTTGTGAGAAGTGTTAAGGAACATGAAGCACTCAGTAGAAAAAGATTAAAAATTATATTAAAAGTATAATCTCGGCCGGCGCCATGGCTCACTAGGCTAATCCTCCGCCTTGCGGCGCCGGCACACCGGGTTCTAGTCCCGGTCGGGGCGCCGGATTCTGTCCCGGTTGCCCCTCTTCCAGGCCAGCTCTCTGCTGTGGCCAGGGAGTGCAGTGGAGGATGGCCCAAGTGCTTGGGCCCTGCACCCCATGGGAGACCAGGAGAAGTACCTGGCTCCTGCCTTGGGATCAGTGTGGTGCGCCGGCCACAGCGCGCCAGCCGTGGCGGCCACTGGAGGGTGAACCAACGGCAAAGGAAGACCTTTCTCTCTCTCTCTCTCTCACTGTCCACTCTGCCTGTCAAAAAATAAAAAAATAAAAAAATAAAAGTATAATCTCAATTGTGTAAACAGATGCACAGAAAAATAGCTTAGAAATACATCAGAGGGTCCGGCGCAGTGGTGCAGTAGGTTAATCCTCTGCCTGCAGCGCCAGCATCCCATATGGGTGCCGATTCTAGTCCCAGTTGCTCCACTTCCAATCCAGCTCTCTGCTATACCCTGGAAACCAGTAGAAGATGGCCCAAATGCATGGGGCTCTGCACCTACGTGGGAGACCAGGAAGAAGCACTTGGCTCCTGGCTTTGTACTGGCGCAGCCGTTGCAGCCATTTGGGGAATGAATCAACAGAAGGAAGACCTTTCTCTCTGTCTCTCCCTCTCACTGTCTGTAACTCTGCCTCTCAAATAAAATAAAATCTTAAAAAAGAAAGAAATAAAGAAATCAGAATGGTAATGATGGTTGAATCTAGAAGACAGGACTACAGGGGATAGTGTTGTGGCGTAATGGGTTCAAGTCCCAGCAGCTCTGCTTCTAATGCAGTTCCCTGCTAATGCACCTAGGAGAGTAGCAGAAGATGGCCCAAATGCTTTGGCCCCTGCATCCATGTGGCAGATTCTGATGAGCCCTTGGCTTAGGCCGGGCCCTGCCCTGGCAGCTGCAGCCATCTGGGGAGTGAAACAGCAGATGGAAGATCTCTCTGTCTCTATCTTTGCCTCTCTCTCTGTAACTCTGCCTTTCAAATAAATAAATTAAATCTTTTTTTTAAAAGAAGACAGGACTATAAAAGTTTCTTCTTTTATACTTTCTGTACTTCCAATTTTAAAAAAGCCATGAACCTGTATTCACATGATAAAAACAACACCAACAAAAGAGAAGAATAAACTTGCAGTCACCTGGAGAATGAAAGAATTTCTCATATGCTCAGGTAAATTATCCAGCATTTCTGCGTAGCAGCGCATCAAGCTCAACAGCCAGAAGTTTCCAGAAGTGGAATCTTCCTCTGCGGTGTAAGTGAACGGGTCCACCATGTAAATGACAACAGCTGGAGGGTAGGCTTGGCTGTCGGCAGAGTCAGGCTCCGTGGGAATTCCTATTCTCTCCCTCTCTGTAACACTGGAGAGAAAGTCACTTGTGAGATGCACAAAACAAACATCAATTATATGGACTTCATCCATTTGGGAACACATTCATTCCCCAATGATTACAGATTAAAAGTAAAAAAATTATGTATTATATTATCAAAATGAAGGCAAACCAAGCCAGGTTGCAGTGAGACTAGATGGAAAATAACAATATAGGTTGAGCAGCTCTATCACAAAAATCTGACTTGATACTCAAAAAGTTTTAGATTTTAGAATATTCTGGATTTTACACTTCAGACCTTCAGTAAAGGCAGCGCAAATACTTTAAGGTCTGAAAACTTCCAAAGTTTGAAATACATCTGGTCTCAACCATTTTAACTAAGGGATCCTCAACCTGTATAATTCTCTAAAACGAGAGACCTCTTCTTCAACTGTCCTTTCTTTTCTGTGGTCACACTGTATAAAGATATTTTATAATAAACTAGTAAGTCACTATGCCTAATAACAATGTTTACCAACTGTAATTAGTCAGAATACTCAAACTTCTTAATGCAGGGACAGATCGACTGTTGCCGCTTTCTATTGGGAAGAAGAGAAACAGCACCCTGCTGAATTTTGAGATTCATGAGGTCAAGGGCGGGGGAAGAGAGGGATCAGAGGAAGAGGACAGAAGAGGTCTGAGCCGAAGGCACTCATCTGGACCAATAACGCACCTTTCTTGTCCATCCTGTGAGGGCTGAGAAGAGCTTTGCCCAGGCTCCGTGTCTCCGCCACAGCCCATGTTCCCTTGGGTTCTATCTGTGGAGCTGCCCCCAGTGCTGGGGTTCTGCCCTCCAACACTAGCACTGAATCCTGAAGAGGAGGTACTGCTGATCTGGTTAATACCCGGAACAGAGGTGGACGATGAGACCGGTGGCACAGATGACCCAGATGCAGAACCGCTTGCTGCAGGGTTTGTAGAACTACCATTAGAGGTGGGATTATATGCACTGCCAGCTGGGGGAGCCGCTGATCCTGAATTTGAGGCTAAAGGCCCAGCATTTCCAGGTGTAGCTTGTCCCTGCGCTGCTGCTGGTGAGTTCTGATACTTAGGTGGTATCAACAGGCTGCTATCGAGCTGCAGAGTGGCTAAATAAGGTGCTGAAAGAGGACACGCAAAGAGATGACTTCAGTGATGTCTGCAGTGTCAGGCTGGATCAGAAATTTAGAATGGTCACGTTATAAAAAGTTACGCTTTTAAGCTGCAACACTCATCATGACATCCCAAATACCATCTCTATACTTGAACATATGCTTATATATTCTGCAAGCATAAAAATACACATGCAACAAATCCTACCAAACAGCCTTATTTGAAAATAAAGAAACTATTGATCACTTGTAATATTCTCCTTCACACGGATTCCACATGCCTTCACTGGAGAGTGAGAGACCATGTATCCCATGCTGTCAGGATACCTGATACTCCACGTGTACAGGCCTTCCCATGCTTCTAAGATTCTCTTGGGAACATGAGTTAAAATTAAGCAGTTAATACCAAGTCATGCTGCTAAGTTTTAAAAATGTGGAGCAAATTTATATGATTTTCTTAGACAACAGTTAATAGGTTTAAAAAATTGATGGTCATAAGAAAATTGGTCTTTTATTACAACAAAACATTGGACCTAAATAAATACAGTAATGGAATGCCAGCTAACATTACTTGTGACAAAAGAAATCAGTATAATGCTGTAACCATAAGGGAAGGGGAGATCTGTTATTTTACTTTTCAAATTCTACTCTGCCAAGTCAAGTCTCACCTACCTAGGTGATGGCGGCAAACTTGCGCATAGAGTTTGAGTCTGGAATGATTGTCGCTCTCCTCGCTGCTCCATGGCTGGTTAAACCACTCACTCACAAGCTCATTGGTCAGCTTCTGTGCCACGGTCTTCCCCACACGCATGATCCCATCACGTAGCACTCTGCAGATGGGCTTGTGCTGCCCAAGTCTACACATCTGACACACAAACAAGAGCATCACTTCCAGCAGGACCATTCCTTCTCACCAGCACTCACGGCTAGCAAGGGAGAGTCTTTACTACGAACCTGGAAGCATCTTCTTTTTTCTTTTGGGGTCATCACATGCAATCAAATCGATGTTGCAGCTGACATTTCTGGTAATTACAATGTACTGGAAGCAGCTGTCTGTCACTCCAAAACCTGAACTAGGCCCTCCAAAAAAAAGTGTTTCTTCACCCAAGATAATTTCTCCTGAATAAGAGGAGACTTACTGAGCACTACTTGCTTGCTAACGAGCAAATAAAGAACTAACCAAAGTCCTGCTACAAGGCTGACTTAGACACATGTCCTGGCACACCTGTTCAGTAATTCCTACTCATGTTTTCCCATAAGATAACATTAGAATTTTATGAGCCATCTGTGACACTGTTACAGACATTTGGAGATCACCAAAAGCAGAGACCTTTGAAGCCGTGAGTAAACGTATCACTCTGTAAAAGTCAATAGTTGGTTTAGGACAACAAGAGTCTGCTACTCATCTCTAGGACACTACATGGGTGCTGAGGGCAGAGAAGAAACATACAAACTCTCCATCACAACAGGAATGTTACCCCCGTTGATGAAGCAAAGACTTAACCAGCCCAAACAATGTTCTAGCCTATACACTTCTTCAGCAGGTATGAATTACTGCCAAATTAACAATCCTAGTAAGGTCATTAAGAAAAACAAGAGTGCCTGAACCTTCTACAAATATCTGACAAATGCTGTTTTATAACTTTTTTTGAAGGTTTCATTCAAGAGAATGGCCAAGTTTTCTAGCTACTGAGAGAAGCTTTCTATGTTATAAATATTATACGCACCCATGGAGTAGGCCCTGTTCAGACACAGCTGTGTCCAAGGGTTTCCATCAGTGGCTTAATGGATACCATCACATAACATGTCAGCCCCTCCTCATTGGTTTGTAGCAACTCATAAATTTACTATTCTGTGTTTACACACACATTTATAGATACTGAATCACTTGCTTGGAAATATTTTTGAAATTTAACTTGACAACTTATTTTAAAAACACTTTTGTGATGCTTATATTTGCTTGTCATAGTTCTAAATGCTCTACAAACATTAGCTGCACTTCATCTTGCCAAATATAAAGACATCAGAAGTCGAAGGTACCAAGAACTTCGTGTATATTGCTTTGGCAGAAGAAATGCAGCACTAACTCTTCAAAGGTGGGCACAAGTGAGTCTAACTTTCCAAAAGCAAGAGGAAATTATAAACTAAGGATACAAAACTACCTGGTTTTCACATTATTATGGTTCTTACATTTTTTAACCTATCAAAATTATAGTATTAAGATGAATGTAGTGTTAAAACCTAACATGATTTGTAAAACTTATCTGTTGACTGAGACATTCTCAAGCTAACTATTTTTATATTGTTTTTGGAAACTTTAACCCACCAACCTCATCCCTCCACCCAAGAAGTAAATAAACAGAAACAGTGCTGCTATCTTTTTGTAAACTCATATTCTCCACAGCCAACATGTTCCCCTGGTGAGCAACACTTTTAAACACTGAGTAAAAAATGGGGAAAAGACAGTGGACATGATTTTAAGATGTATGATGAAGCTGAAAGAGGAACACCTTCTAAATTCAATAAAAAGTATAAAATCAGCATGAGACAGCAACTGACTTCCAGAAAATTTTGGCAATTTAATTCTTTGCTTCATCCTCCAAGATCTACTTTCAAGATATTTATTCTTCCAAACTGACTCACAACTGAACAACCAGAGGATTAGTGTCATGATTTCCACAATAACCTTCTCACCTCGTATACAGCACTCAAGTCCCTGAAGAAAGTTTTGGCTCCTTCGAGCAAGGCCTCATTTTCTGGACACACCACAATATAGGCAACATCACGGTGGCCCCCATATGGGTCCAACAACAGCCTCTCCCAAAATGGCAAGGAGAATGGCGAGATGGTGAGGAAGTCCTTGTCATAGCCTACCAGCAGAGTAGGGATGGGCAATGGCTCAGGAGATTCTTCTGAACCTAAAACAACACTGTAGTTAGCAGGGTGGTTTAGAGTTTGCTTCCCACAACCTGGACAATTTAGAAACGCCTGACTCTGGTTTCAATTCCAGCATCTGAAATGTCACTGCATGCTAACACAATATTCTTAAAAGTATTTTTTAAAACATCTGATTAAATGGTCCCTGAAGAATAATGAATCAGAAGTTGCTTACAGAGGTTCAAGAAGAGGGGGCAGACTTGAGTAAGTTCAAGATAACTTTCCAGGCGGCTCTATGTCATCTCCTTTAAGACAAGCATTTTGATGACCACAGAATAGAACTAGTCGAGAAGGCCACTCGGATGAAAATGTAATGAGTGTTGGGAAGATCTGAGGATCTAATAAATATGCTTTTCATGGATTATTTTCCACACTGACCTGGATTATGCTAGCTGTATTTAGAAAACTTGACTCCAAAGGTCACTTTAGAAAAACAAAGGGATTATAACACTTAATGGTCACAAAGATTCAGTGATATGTCGGTGAAGCAAGGACTCGACAGTAACTAAGCTGTTCCTCACTGCAGAACGCAGACGACAGAAGGCATTTAAACAGGGTTGAGACTCTACCATAGGTCCCACGTCCTGCCATCTTATGGAACTGCTGCCAGGTGAGTGGCCCCTGCACATGCTGGATGTTCTCCCAGGTCCTGCCCGTGCGCTTCTTTTGGATGGCATCTTGGAGAAAGGGCTGCAGGGACAACAGCATACGGACCACATCTTGGGAGGAGAGCATGCTGATGTCCAGCACTGCAAGAGAAATGAGAGCAGAGGGAATAAAGGGGTTAGCACTCTCCTGCTTCTTGCCATCACTATGGGCCTCAGTTACAGGCCATGGCAGAGACTACTAAGAGCTATACTAGATTCTAAGACACTTGACTTAGGAGTTCAGTGGAAAGATACTCTTCTTCTAAAGTACAGAAAATGATTTGATAATTTATTATTAAAAATGGGGAGCAGGGGACCAGCATTGTGTGTAGCGCGTTAAGCTACCTTCTGCATTGCTGATGTTATCGTGAGCCCTGGTTCAGGGCTGCTCCACTTCTGATCCAGCTCCCTGCTAATGTGCCTGGGAAAGCAGTGGAGGATGGCATGAGTGTTCAGGCCGCTGCCACCCACCTGGGAGATCCAGATGGAGACCCCAGGCTCCTTGGCTTTGACTAGACCCAGCCCCAGCCACTATGGCTATTTGGGGAGACAACCAGTGGATGGAAGATATCTAACTCTGCCTTTCAAATAAGTAGATAAAAAAATAGATATTTTCCCAAAAATGGGAAACGGGTTACTTTAGATAAAAAGAGTTTAACTAAAGTACTGCCTAGAAGGGGAAAAATAAATAGGTCTGACATTTTAAAATCATGTAAACCTATTTCCAAGGTTTTTCATAAGAAAAGAAAGTTGCAAAAGTTTATTAATTATTACATTACTTTGATTTACAAATAATAAAGATCAGATTATATGATTAGGGGAAAAGAACTTAAATAGAAGCTTATAAAAACTTATAAAAAATATCATCAGAATATAGAATCCACAAAGAGACTACCATCAATGCAGGCAATGGCACAAGGCAGAAGCAACTACAGGACTAAAGTCTTGTGTACACAGAGGAAGGTGGCAGATTAGCTGTTTAAGAATAAATACTGGGGGGCGGGGGAGGTGCGCGCACTGTGGCGTGGTGGGTAAAGCTGCCGCCTGCAATGCTGGCATCCTATATGGGCACCTACTTCCAATCCAGCTCTCTGCTATGGCCTGGGAAGGCAGCAGAAGATGGCCCAAGGCCTTGGGCCCCTGCACCCATGTAGGAGACCCGGAAGAGGGTTCTGGCTGCGGATCAGCACAGCTCTGGCCATTGCAGCCACCTGGGAGTGAACCAATGGACGAAAGACCTCTCTCTCTGCCTCTCCTTCTGTGCAACTCTGCCTTTCAAACAGAATATAAATCTTAAAAAAATAAATACTGGGGTCCAGCACTGTGGCGCCAGCACCCCATTAACGCCAGTTCTAGTCTCAGCTGCTCCTCTTCTGATCCAGCTCTCTGTCATGGCCTGGGAAAAGCCGCAGAGGATGGGCCAAGCACTTGGTCCCCTGCACCTGAGTGGAAGACCCGGAAGAAGCTCCTGGCTCCTGGCTCCGGATCAGCCCATCTCAGGCCGTTGCAGCCATTTGGGGAATGAACCAGCAGATGGAAAACCTTTCTCTCTCTCCCCCTCTCCCTCTCCATATCTCTCCCTCTCAAACAAATAAATAAGTAACATCTTAAGGAAAAAAAAGAATAAATACTTTGTTCTGCTAGCAGTCACCCTAGGGAAGAGTTCCTGACCTAGAATTTGAAATTCCCCTGAAACTCTGCAGGACTGTGCATGCATGAATATATAGATTTTTTTCTGAAGGGGAAGGGTCCGTAATGCTCAAAAGATTTTCCAAAAATGGCCATGGACAGAGCTGATGAAGCTCAAGGATGGGGCATAAAGCTGAAAAGCTAGGCTCCTGAAGAAAAGACCCTTCTTCATTCTCCCTCTTCTAGCTGGTTAAGAAAAGGATGTGGGTAGAAATCTAAGACTTCTCTACCAAGCCAATCTGGAACACAGGTCTCACTGGTTCTGAACACATTTTCAGATGTGTCCCTAAATCAGTGAAACACAGCTTACAAACTGGTGACCCACAACGCATTTTTTTAAACTCCAGAATGGACTGCTACAGGAAGTTCCATATACCAATCTGGATTTCTCAGCTTGTCATGAACTGGATGCCTGACAAGCCAGGCGTGAGCCCCCTATTCCTGCGCAAGTAGCACTGACAGAGCTGAGGAGCGGCTGTCCCCTTCGGCCATTTCTGTGTGCCTTGCCTGCTCACTGCCTGAGACTGACGAGATGTTAATCACTCTTTATTGGGGCTGGCGTCGTGGCGAAGCTGCAGTGCCGGCAGTCCATATGGGAGTCCCAGCTGCTCCACTTCCGATCCAGCTCTCAGCTATGGACTGGGAAAGCAGTAGAAGATGGCCCAAGTCCTCGGGCCCCTGCACCCATGTGGGAGACCCGGAAGAAGCTCCTGGCTTCGGATCGGCACAGCTCCGGCCGTTGCAGCTAACTGAGGAGTGAACCAGCGGATGGAAGACCTCTCTCTCTGCCTCTCCTTCTCTCTGTGAAACTCTTTCAGATAAATAAATCTTTAAAAAAACCACTCTTGATCTTCAAGCCTGTGTTTCTTTTATAAGAACTTCGTGTACTCATGACTCTATAAAAAGTGAGAAATGACAGATCAAGAGAATTATAGATTTGAGAAGAATAAAAGCAAGCATTTTTCCTGTGAATTTTATACCTGTGTATGTAAAACAGAAAGTGTGTTTCAAAAGAATACAATCTGAGGCACTGAGTTTTACAAATCCATCTCCTACGCCCTTCATTTATATTACATATCTGGTACTGCTGTGCATTTCAAAATCTGAAACCCAGACCTCCCCTGCAATAAAACTTACAGTTCTTCATATGGAAGATGCCACCACTGATCTCTCCCCAATTTAGTAGTGAAAACCACCCAAGCTGATCACCCACATTTCTTTAGCAAGAAGGCTGCATTCAGCTTATTTCATAAATTCATTCGGCAGACAACAGTGAAGGGCCTGTTTTGTAAAAGGCACTGTGCTTGAACCTAAGCAGTTATAAAATGAAAGAGAATCTTGTAATGTTTACTGAAGAGCTTCCACCTATGGGAAGGCTTTCTTGTTTGGTCTATTCAGAAAACACCTGTCATTGCCTACTCCACGGACCTCCCTCCTATGGACATTTTCATTATTTTCTGATTCTAAACTATACTTACAAGATCTACACAGCCTCCTCTCCTGCCAGACTGAGCTGTCCAGAGGCAGGGTCTGTGCTCTACCCACACTCCCCTTGCAACCTGGCCTCTGCTCACATCACTGCACACTAACAGCTCTCCCTGAGTTCAGGAGCCCTACGGAACCTTCTCTCAAACTCCTCGGTTGCATTTTCACACTTGCTGACTCGTTCCTCTTTCTTGAAACATTGCTTCACCCTGGTTTCCCTTCTCCCTCTTCCTCCTCTCCTCCTCAATGGGCTCTCACTCCTCTCCATGGTCTTCACCTGTCAGAACTCAGCTAAGCTCCATCTCAGCTCTCTGCTCATTCTATTCTCCCTCTTCTTCCTCACATGCCCAAGAATCCCACTGCCCTTGATCGTTGGACCCAAGTCTCTACTTGACATGTTCGTACTTTCCAAACAACTTATGGGCATTCTTCCCAGCCCCTCTTTCTCTAGCATCCCTGTTTCTGAACAATGTCACTGTCTATCCTTGCACACAAGTTACCAAACTGGGAACTTCCTCTTAACACCCCAGTCTCTTATCCCCCAAACCCGACCCATTACCAAGCTCTGCGATAATACTTCCTTAAACATTTCTTGAATGCTTTTACTTCTTTTCCATCTTCTTTGCTAGGACCCAAGGCAAGCTACTGTTTCTTATCTGGTCTACCTCAGTAGCTGCCTAGTCTCCCTAAATCCATTTCTACTTTTGTTTTTTTTTTTGGACAGGCAGAGTGGACAGTGAGAGAGAGACAGAAAGAAAGGGCTTCCTTTGCCGTTGGTTCACCCTCCAATGGCCGCCGCGCTGCAGCCGGCGCACCGCGCTGATCCGATGGCCGGAGCCAGGTGCTTCTCCTGGTCTCCCATGGGGTGCAGGGCCCAAGCACTTGGGCCATCCTCCACTGCACTCCCTGGCCACAGCAGAGAGCTGGCCTGGAAGAGGGGCAACTGGGACAGAATCCGGCTCCCTGACCGGGACTGGAACCCGGTGTGCTGGCGCCGCAGGGGGAGGATTAGCCTAGTGAGCCGCGGCGCCGCATTTCTACCATATTCTAACACACACCCCACATCAGGGTCAGACTCATCATGTTTTTTATTGTTTAACCACACACAATTATGATGCCAATGCCTCTTTTTAAAACTCTTCAGTGAATTTTTAATTGTTCTTTCGATGAAGATCCAATCAGCAGCATGTCTCAATAGGTTTTTTCTTCAATCTAGTTGGCTTCTAACCTCCTTTCAGTCTCCTGAGGACCCCCTAGTTCATGAAACTCTGGGCCTTCACACTTACCCTGCCTTCTGTCTGATACATGAATACTGGCTCCCTCCCCTTGTCACTCAGTTCATTCTTACTCATCACTGAGATCTCAAAGCAAGTGCAGCTACGGCTTAAGTTGTCCCTGATCTCCAGCCCAGGGAGATCCAACCTACCGATCTTCACACTTGCACTAATTTGTACTAATGAGCTTACTGATGCAGTTATTTGATTAATGTCCATTTTTCCAGAATAGACTAGAGAGCACACAAGGGCAAGTTGTCTCTTTCAGCCACCATTTCCCCCAGAATGCATCACAGGACAGTGAACAGGTAAGAGGAGAACATAGCAAGGTGACTGGCACTCTCAGAGCCCAAATACAAAACTGTGCATCAACTGGAGCATTTAATAACAGAAGAGTTAGTGGCATGCTCCAGTCACCTAAAGTCAAAGTGATAACTGATTTAAGAGATAACAACATCCTGGAAAGTCAGAGGAAAGAGAAAATACTTCCATAAGTAAGCAGCAGGTTTTTGTGGAGAGGTATCATGAAAATATGATTTTGAAGAACAAGTGGATTTACACATGCAAGAAGGTACAAATCAACAGCTGGTGCGCTCTGGATGAGTCATATTATTTCCAACATGGGTTGCCTACTTATGAATTAATACAAAAGGAAATTTTCAGGAAGTAATTACTCTTCATCTTCAAAGGTGCCTCAATATAAAGCATTTCCCCAGTCCTTACATTTAAGATTAAATAAACATAGCTTTAAAAAAAGAAATTTAAAATTTTAGTGATATAGCAAAGTCAAGAAAGATTTTAAGTTATCGTCACACCAAGATACTTTCTGAAGTCAGCTTCTGTCCCGGGCACGTACCGTTGCTATGAGGCCACGCGTGCACAGTGGCACTTCTCACCAGAGCTTCATCCACTTTCCCACCAGTGGGATTATCCACGTACTGCCGCCCCTGCTCCAACGCATTGAAGCATTCTGTCCAGCAGTCATTGTTATCTGCTTGCACCCGGTCGTAACTCCAGCTTACACAGGGAAGAGTTTGGCGGTTATTAGAGGAAATGTAGTCCAGGAAACTCAGAGAAGCAAAAGGTTGTGTATGTTGATTCTGAAGGAGGAGGAGAAGGCTAATGGGTGGCTCCTGGGATTTTCTGGCTCCTTCCACCTGAGGAAGAAAGGTGGTCTGACACATCATTAAGCGCCTCTCTGCAGCCTGACCAATATCAGAGTTCTTCCCAAAAATATCCAGCTCATCTTCCAGGAAGAGTCCCGAATTGTAGGCAAGTTTGCGATTCATAATCGCACTGAAGCCACAGGTACAGCGGTACTGGTCCTCGTTGGAGGAGTCAGGGATATAAAGGCCGACATCTGCCCCCTTGATGTTCATGTTGCAGGCACAGATGCAACAGCTGTCAAAGTTTCTGTCTTTAAAGATATTCATTACAGAATCAGACAGGATCAGGGTGACATAGAGGCTGTGGGCTTCAGGAATCGGCTGCATGGTGGCAGGCTCCACAGAGTTGAGGGGCCGTGTGGTAGACGGTGTAGAGGCTGGTGACCCCTGATCTGTGCTGTCATATTTAACAGATCCCTGACCACTGGCAGTGCCCCCGCCTCTGGGAGTTCTTGGGGTCCTGGGAGTTCGTGGGGTAGGGACAGAGAAGCGAGGGGTCGCTGGAGATGGAAGAACTCCTGCCCCACTGTTGCTGGCTGGGGCAGCACTGTTCAGCGTCACCGGCGTGCTCATCTGTGGTGTGTTCAGAGAGTCTGGATCTGCTAGGCTCCCAACACTAGGCACATTACTGCAACAGACAGAGGGGTACTGTGTGAGCTGGGGCGTGCATCAGTTACCAAATCTACACGTGATCGTGTCAACCACACACTACACATTCCTATACTGTACATGTATGTGATCACTTAGTAAATGTAATTTACCCTTTAAAAAAGATGCAGAGCAGTAAGCACAGTGTGTAGAGAAGCAGGAAGCAAGGAATGAAGAATAATTCAGTGTACAATTTCCTTCTACTTATTCCACATCTAAGCAATTCCTGTCTTAATCTTTTGACAACATTTTACTGTTTCTACAAGGAAACAAGGTGTTGGGTTTGGTCGATGTAATCCTGAGAAGTTGTAACTACTAAATGGACCTTTACCACATGAGTTCAGGTGCATAATTAGCTAGAGGACCATAGGATGAAATTTCCATCTCATTTGCAATTACATTTTTTGTCATTTTTTGAAATTGAAAGTCTGTCAGTGCACTTGTTCTCTGAGGCTATAATCTATATGTGATATTAGAATAATTACAATCAAATACATGTGAAAATTTAACATTTTTTCTAATTTTCAAAATGTAGCCTTGGGGTAGGTGCTTGGCATGGAAGTTAAAAAGTGTCACTTGGGACACCTGCATTCCATAGCAGAGTGCCTGGGGTTCATGTCCCAGCTCTCAACTTCTGATTCCAGCTTCCTGCTAGGTAGACCTGGCGAGGCAGTGGTAATAGTTCAAATAGTTGGGTCTCTGGCACCCACAGGGGAGACCTGGGTTGAGTTCTCAGCTCTTGGCTTCCCAGCTTTTGGGGGCATCTGGTGAATGAACTAGCAGACAGGAGATAATCTATGTCCCCCAGCCTTTCGAACAAACAAAATAAATTGTTTTTTTTTTTTTTTTTTAAATGCAGCCCTATCTAGGCTTATATTTTTATAGAAATGAGTGACCATAAAGGAATTCCATTTTAGGTAACACAATACTATACTATGGTTAATAGAAACACTGTGTATGCTGCTAACAAGGCCTTAGTATTCATCAGGTGGTAACACAGAAGTACACATACTGCATCACAGTTTACAGTTTCTAATAGATTTCTGTGGAGCAAAGCAGACACCTCTAGTTTACTTTTGTTTTTCAATATGCTCTTCAGTCCTATAAGTAAAATTATTTTAACTCCCTGAGACCAACTGTGCCATATTATCTATTTTCTCCCAAGCAGGGATTTCTTTTCAGGATGGCCAAACAGAAAACACCACAGTGCCTGTGACATTCTGCTATTCTGTAAAATGCTGTAAAACCTTTTCTTGGTATATGTATTTAGACATACATGCCAAACACTGTATGAGCCCATTCTTTCCACTTAAGGAGCACCAAGAAAAAAGTTTTTTTTTTCCAATTTTTCATATTCTTTTATATATATATTAATTCTGCGCTTAAATTGATGCTATTTCAATAAACTATGTGCTCATTCACTTATATTGTTAAAGAAAATTATCATAAAGAAATGCTTCTTCAAATTATTTCTTATGATTTTAAATTAGCAATGTCTTAAAATCCAAACAAGGCACTATAAAGAAATGTTAAATATAAGTCACAGTGTTATCTTTGAATACAGATAAAGAGTGATCCAGAAAACTTGACTGGCAATAACTGCTCTATCAGAGAAAATAATAATACAAAATAATAAGTGTGTAATAATAATATTTACTCTAACAGGACTCCTTTCAGACTTTCCTGTCCAACAACATCCTAAAATTATTATGCAGTTCAAAGAAGGAACTGTGACTACTAGCTGAAAACCTAAATAATTAAATTGCTACCTAGGGAATAAGAATAGTTTATCTTATATTTTAACCTATTTTCCCCATTCTAGAAAAATGAATTAAGTATCAACTCCATGCTACAAGCAACAATGACAAAAAGAAAAGAAGTTAGTTCACAAGCAAATACAGCAGACATTCCACAAGTGACTGCAGGTACAACAAACGTGACAAAGAGTGGCACAGAGTAGAGAAAACCAGAGCTCACAGCAGCGGGCAACAGGGAGTCTGGAATTATACAGTCCAGTGCAGTAGCCACTAGCCCCATGTTAGACTTGAGCAAAACTAGAGCTTCAGTCTTACTCTCACTAGCCACATTCCAAGTGGTCAACAATGACAATATGAGGTTAGTGCCTACCATACCGGACAATGCAGACATAAAAAGCCTCTTTCATCATCCTCAGTTGTATCAACAGTGCCAGGCTAAAATACAAAGAATCTTTGGAATGGCAAATGTTCTACCAGATCTAAACAGTGACTTACTGTACTTAAACCATTATATACCAAAAAGTGACCTGTGACCTTCTGGTGGACCTGTGTGCATATCGAATGTTTTCCTGAACTGCATGTATCTTTTATTTGCAACTGTGACTTCTGACCTCACCCCAGTGTGCCAAGGCTTCTTAGCTGTGCTGTCCTGGTATCTAGTCAAGTAAGCTAGAGCTCAAGTGGAGCACAGCAACACCAGACAAGCCAGGGCACACGCCCAGACAGCTCTGGGCACTCTGCTTCATGCTGCCAGGGCACTGTTACTTCCACAGCTCTCCAGCAGCCATTAGTGGTTACAGCCTTTCAAAAGTCCTGGGAGGGAAGTGAGGCAGGATTACTCCATTAAGACTCAGGTAAAATGACCACTTAAGATCAACACAGAATTTATTAAAGCAGGAACTAAGTCCTGTGGCCCTGCAGCTGTAGCTTCTTATGCCTACGGTCTTCGTCACAGTCTCATTCTGACACTGATTTCACCATGCATGATTATGACACTAAAGATGGTTTCATCAAAATGGTTTTATAGGAGCTCACAAGCATATGGCTCACAGACTTGAGTCTGGACCACAAATTTGTTTTATTAGTTTCGTAAGTTTAACTTAACTTTGAATCAGCTACAACATTTTTATAAAACTCATATCTAGATTTCCACTCACTCTCAAAACCAGAAAGACCTGATTACACTAGCCCTACCCCTGATTGACACTGCTCTGCAACTGAATGGCAAACGTCCTTCCCCACGGGCACTGTCACTTCTACTGTCCCCATGATGACAAGGAGCATCAGCAGCGCCAAGTCCTGCCCATTTCATCTATATATTGCCTACCTGGTCCCAATATAAATTTGAGTTTGTGATCTTTTATTTTATAGCATTATTTTATTAAGAAAGTATTTATCACAGAGAAAACTGTTCTATATTATTGACATAAGTACTAATTTGGGGGACAGTATGAAATGTATAAACAATTCCTTTTGTGTGCCATAAATCATATCAGCATTCTGTTGCTTCTTTCCTATATAACATGGAGGCAGTAACAGAAATCATCTAGGCTAATACTTCATTTTACATCATCTCCTTGGGATGGGCATTTGGTGTAGCAGTTAAGCACTGCTTAGGATGCTTGCATCCCATATTGGGGTGCCTGGGTTTCAGTTCTAGCCCCACTCTGCATTCTAGCTTCCTGCCAATGCATACTCTGGAAGGTAACAGATGATGGCTCAAGTACTTGGATTCTTGGTACCCATGAGGGAGACCTGGATTGAGTTTCCGGCTCCTGGCTTCAGTCTTGCCCAGCTTTGGCTGTTGTGGGCATTTGGGGAGTAAGCCAGTAGATGGGAGAAACCCCTACTCCATATCTCTCTGCTTTTTTTTTTTTTTAAACTCACTTTACATAGAATAAAGTTTTTACCACTATTACCCAAAGAACATTACTTCAATTAAGCTGTTAGTGCTATGACAGACATTGATTTGACATCGAATATGCATGAACACCACAGTGCTCTACATGAATAACCTCAATTTTTCTGTGCATACAAATTTTTGTTTAGAAAACAATCTATACGTTCAATACAAAATAGTGTATGCAAAAATATGAATGGTCAATAAAGAAAACCTTCAAATGATATGCTGTTGTCTAATTTTTAACAATTAGGTCCCTGGTTAGGATAAGATGACATCAAATAGAGCAAGTAACTGAAACAATCCCTGTACATACTTGTAGCCATCTCTAATGAAAGTGGCTGTAGGGGGCATGGGCAGTTGTTCAATTTTAGGAGGAATCGCCCATGAAGGCCGAAACAGACAGGCATCAGGTATCTTCAGAGGTAGCAGGCAATGGCTCGGCAACATCCTCAGGGGAGCAAACATGGAGGACCCCATGAAAGGTTGAAAAGGTGGAACTTTGTGCACATATGAGAAGTCCTGAGACAAAAGAGTTGGATCAGTACCAATGACTATTAGAATACATGAAAATTACACAGTGCTACAATAAAAATAGCAACCACAATGATCGTTATTCAGTATTTCTCTTATCTGATCAATAGAAAGATGCTGATATCAACAATTTTAAGTTAATTAAAAGACACTATAACCAATATATCAAAGGGTGTAGCTCAATGCTCCAATTCAAAGGATCCTTATAAATTTATAGAGATATGACACACAGGTAGTACCAGTAACAATCAACTTGAAAACCACTAGGCCTTGGGAAAGTTAACCTACTGACAGCTATTTTACCTTTATTTCCTCTGGCTTTGGACTTCCTAGGCCATCTTCCACTTCCATTTTGAATTCTGTCAACTGTGTTGAAACTATACTGACCATTGGGCTCTCCATCATGCCTAATGCTGTCACTGTCTCTGAACTGATTCCATCTTTATAATTCATCACAGGAGAAAATGCAGGATGCTGTTCCAGAGATGGAGGAGTGGGGAACATCCTTTGCAAGTCTGCAACTGCTAAAAAAGAAAACACATAAACCTTTTAAAAGGCCAAGATTTCTAAAAAGTCCTAGTTCATAGTCAGGGACCTAATTTGACATCAATAATAGCACTAAGTGAATGGCCACATCAGTCACACAATAGAATATTAATAATGGAAGTATCCAAGAAGGCAGCCATGAGCAGAAAATAATCCTTTCCTGGAGTTTTACCACTATCTTCTTAATGCTTTATGATATGGCTTCACATTAATTAAGTGAACAGAGTCTACATAACATGCATTTTTCTCCCAACAATTGATTCCCTGAGAAGTCTAAGGAGATGAATTATGTGGAAACTGGAAGCAATTAGATGGAATAACCACATTATTAAAAGTTCTCTCCTTGTTTCCAAGTACAGATGAGAAATTACAGAAAATAAAATCTGGGGCTGGCGCTGTGGCGCAGCAGGTTAATGCCCTGGCCTGAAGCACCAGCATCCTATATGAGCGCCAGTTCTAGTCCCAGCTGTTCCACTTCCCATCCAACTCTCTGCTATGGCCTGGGAAAGCAGTGGAGGATGGCCCAAGTCCTTGGGCCCCTGCACCCACGTGGGAGACCCGGAAGAAGCTCCTGGCTCCTGCCATCGGATCGGTGCAGTTCTGACTGTTGCGGCCATCTGGGGAGTGAACCATCAGATGGAAGACCTCTCTCTCTCTGCCTCTCCTCTCTCTGTGTAACTCTGACTTTTGAATAAATAAATAAATCTTAAAAAAAAAAAAAAAGCTGGAGCCAAACTAGTGATTTGTATGTCACAGGATTACTCAGTACTGTCTGTTGGGGAAAGAGTTCCAATATCTCTTTATAGACTGACATGAAGTGAAGCTTCATAGTTATGATTAACAATCCCACCTAGAGACAAGACAGTTTACTGAAAATGAATCAGAGAGAAACAAAAATATTTTAATGAATACTAAGAACATTAATTTTCAATCCTTTTATTAAAAATTGTTTTCATTTACCTTAAGTAATCACTATCACTAACAGTGGTTCATTAAGGCATTATTTCTTAAAATGGGAGCATATATAAAGTTTGGCCACTAGGGGGTATGCTGTTCAACAAATTTATTAGTGTGCTTGGAGTTACAATTTTAAAATCAGCAATTTGTGTTAGCATTTGATGTTCCCATTTCCTATACTATCATTTTTATAGCAACTTCAATATTAAATTAGACAACCAGCAACCACTGAGCAGACTGAGATCTGACTTCTGGTCTCTAATCAGAAATTAATGCTGAACAATCGTCTCATGCTTTGCTGTGGGCTACAGTCCAGAGCAGAGCTGAGTAAAGAAGGAACAGGCTCCCGGCGCTGTGGCGCAGTGGGTTAATGCCCTGACCTGAAGCGCCCGCATCCCATGTGGGTGCCAGTTTGAGATTTGGCTGCTCCACTTCTGATCCAGCTCTCTGCTGTGGCCTGGGAAAGCAGTGGAGGATGGCCCATGTCCTTGGACCCCTTCACCCACATGGGAAACCTGGAAGAAGCTCCTGGTTCCTGGCTTCAGATCGGCACAGCTCCGGCCGTTGCAGCCAATTGGGGAGTGAACCAGTGGATGAAGACCTCTCTCTCTCTTTCTGCCTGTCCTTCTCTCTCTGTGTAATTCTGACTTTCAGATAAATAAATAAATCTTTAAAAACAAAAAAAAAGGAGGAACAGGGACAGAGGCCACTCAGACCAAGAGCTCTGTTTATGTTCAGGTTATGTCTTCCCTTAGTTCTGTCATCTAGCAGCAGAGGCTCAATGAGACGTATGATTTTCAACAGCCTTGCTTGGTCTCCTTTGTGTTTTAGGATGAGTGGGAGGGGAGAGACCAGTTATTTCAGCATATGGAGGCAGAGAAGGCGAGAACCTCTGGATTAGATTATCTTTGTCAGGCTTCATAGCAAAAGATTTTATTGGGCAAAGTAGTTCCTGCTACTGTGATGTAAAAGGACAAAACTAAAACCCAAGTTGCTCTACAAGGCGCTCTTCTATGACAATACCCTGCCTGTTAGGAACTTAACAATTTAAAGAAGTAGCGACACAAGCTTAGCCAAATAAGAAACTACTACAGAATCATTGATTTGAGACGCTACATAACTAATATGTTCTAGGGTAGAGAAAGGTTTTCACATGTAGCAGCAACCAGATCAGTGAATTTTCTTTAGCAAAGCTAAAGACTTCAATACAGAGTTAGGTCACACTTGAAATACATCATCACCTTGAAGCTTTAGTCTCTAATCTTTTTCTCAAGTCAAAAGGTAGCTACTATAAAATTTTGGTTTAACTGTAACTGTAATATTTCAAACTATGATTCTGCTTCAGAAAATCTTTAAATTCACATGAGATCTTAATCACCAGTGTGGACCTCTGGGAAATACAGCAATATAGACCTCTGAGTTAAAATGATGAGCTTAAACATTGTCTCTTTTTTTTAGTAGGTATTATGACTATAGTAATGGTTTTATTAAATTAGTTCTTACCATTCTTTTAAGAAACATAATAAAGCCATTTTTCACATAGGGCTACCTAAATTATTTGATGCTATATACCTAACACCAACATATTTTAGTTTTCAAAGCACACACAGACACACACACATACAAATCTCAGTAACTTCTTATACTGATTTACATGTAAAAATTACAGTATTCTGATAATTAAGCTTAATAAAAATATACCATTAAAATTGATTTCACATGTTTCTTCTTCTTACTTGTTTAACACAACTATAATTAAAAATTACATGTGTTGCTCATTTTGTATTTCTTTTCCTTATTTATTTTTTTTTTTTTGACAGTCAGAGTTAGACAGTGAGAGAAAGAGACAGAGAGAAAGGTCTTCCTTCCATTGGTTCACCCCTGAAATGGCCGCTAGGGCCGGTGCACTGCGGCTGGTGCACTGCGGCCGGTGCGCTGTGCCGATCCAAAGCCAGGAGCTGGGTGCTTCCTCCTGGTCTCCCATGCGGGTGCAGGAGCCCAAGCACTTGGGCCATCCTGCACTGCCTTCCCCGGCCACAGCAGAGAGCTGGACTGAAAGAGGAGCAACCGGGACAGAGTCCAGCGCCCCATCCGGGACTAGAACCCAGGGTGCCGGCGCCACAGGCAGAGGATTATCCTAGTGAGCCGCGGCACCGGCTACTCACTTTTGTATTTCTATTGGACAATGCTCTTCTAGAAACTGAATTTCATATAAAATCTGTCATGCCCTCATAGTAATACAGTAAAATGCTAGACACAACTGTGCTTTGTCAGTACCATTTCTTAGAAGCAAATACTGTGTATATATCCACATATTCCACCCCATAAAAACACATTCCCAGCAGTACAAATTTACATAATATACTTTATTGGACTTTCCTGGTACTAATATTCCTGTGCTGCATTTCAAATTCATTAATTTCTATAACCTGCATTTTACCATTAAATCTTGAATAGTTTGTTTTTGAATAAAAGTGAGGGGTGGTCATTTGCCCTGGCAGGTAAGATGCCACTTGGGATGCCTGAACCTCTGCTGGAGTAGCTGGGTCCCAGTCTTGGCTCGGGCACCTTGGACGGCAGTGGTAGCAGCTCCAGTGATTGGGACACCGGGACTGAGTTCCTGGCTCCCAGGCCGTTACAATTATTTTGGGGAATGAACCAGATAGATAGAAAGTCAGACAGGCTTTTAAAAGGAGGAAAAATGAGAGGAGGACAGAGTACACAGCATGCTTCGCCAGCAAGACACCACAGAGCAGGATGTTTGCTGGTGAACAGCTTCAGGAGTTACCAGACATTGTCACGTTTCACATCACTAGTCTCACTTCACATCAAAAAGGGCCAAGGATTAACTGCTTCAATACAGGGCATAAAACTTCACTCATCTGACTTATCCCATCGGTATCTATTTTAATATTATTTCTTTTAATCTGTGAAGTTCCATGTTTGTAAAATTCTGCAGTGCAGAGTAATAAAAAAAGAAAAATGTTTAATTAGAAAAACTACAGCAACTGGCTGGCTATCATTATTCATTTTCATCCATGTCATGCTTGAGAAAGCTTTGCATATTTTAAAAAGCTATGGATCCACTAAAGCTGTCAAAATCCAATCTCTGTATACTTCCCACTTCTACATTTGAGTAAATCAGCACTACATTTATAGGTTCATAAAACTTTTTGACTCATCCCTATGACATGGTGGTTTTTCCCCTCAATTTGTTCTCATTACCAGCTGAAGTTAATGAGAAGGTATTAAAGAATGATTTGCAATGGAATTATGTTTCTGCTTCAGAGTACCCACAGCAGCTACCCAAGCCTCCTTCCCTCTTGTAGAATAATGTATTGTACTCAGGGAAAAGAATATGCAAGAAAAAAGGAGGTTTCTCCTCTTCTTATCAGCACACATAATAAAACTAGCTGATCTCAAAAAGAAACACAAAACCTTTAGTATGAATCTTGAGAAGAACCACAGAAAACAAACACTCATTATCTTAAATTTACAAAATTTGAAATACTTTACCACAGGCCTTAGAGTGGAACATCACTGTGAAGTCATCTGTGTACATTTATCCTACCAGGAAAAGATTATCAGAAAAATAAGCCTAAAACCTATTTTTCACATTTTAAACTATATAAAAGCTTCTGCTCAATTTGAAAACAAAAGAAAATAAATTAAAATCAGGATGGTTTCCATACATAATTAGCTGCCTGCCAACTCAGAAATACCAACTTAAGGAACGCAAAGGACAAGGATTTCAGATAAAAGCACAATGAACACAAGGCGTTAGATGCAAAGTGCAGGCGGGATTGCTGCCACTCACTTGGTGGGTAAGGAACAGCAGCTCTTCCATCCTTCCCAAGAGGTCGGTCTTCTGTCCCAACTGCAGGAATTTTTGATGAGCGCAGCGCAGGTGATACAGCCTAAGAATACGTTTTTCTTATTAAAACAGAGTAACATATCTTCATATAAGCAGAGCAGTACTCAAACACTGCTAAGTGCAAGTGCATGCCTACTGATGTTTAAAAACAAAGGACAGATGCTCTTTGCTTAGTGTTCACCAGATGAACTTCTAGAAAAACCAGCAGAAAGTGGAACAAAGGAGGTACATCTAAAGCTTATTGAGTATGAGAAGCCTCAGTGAGTCCATTTTTCATGGATCTTTTGTGCCTACAAAATAGAACTTGCAGACCTTAAGCAAATGTTCCCTTCCAGGTCATTAGAAGAGTATTTTCATGGATATGATGACTGCATTAGGGTGGTGTTTTTAACAGTAATTGGCAAACAACTGGTCTGGTTTTCCTTCTGTTTGGAAACAAGGTAGCTAAAGAGATGACCTCAAATTCTCCAAAGCCATTATTTTTAAAAATTTCTCACTACAAAAAGTCATATATTTTTTGTACCTACTTAAATAGTTAGTGTTCATCTTTCTCTCTCTCTCTTTCTCTCTCTCTCTCTCTCTCACACACACACACACACACAAACCCTTCTTTCATAAAATTACTGAAATATTCAGAAATAGTCTGATGTTACTCAAAACAAACCAAGTTGCTTACTAGATCAGATTATCTTTAAGAGTAATGAATAGATGGCATAAATAAGGTAAAAATTAGAGGGAAAAAGGATTCTTACAAATAGAAGGCTTCCAAAAAGTTATTTCTACTCATACAATATAATAGAGGTGAAATATAAAATTAAAAACATTTGAGATAAAAATTTAGCCAACAGTCTTCCAATTTCATTTACTAGTGAGATGAATTTGTAACAGATTCTAAGGTAAACTGTTCTTGTGATTAAATGTTGGACTAGAAAACAGAGGAAAGTAGAAATACTTCACGGAAATAAAAATTTGATTAAAAATGTCCAACACTCCTTTGCATATTAGCATTACTAAAAATATATTATAAAAACTTACACATTTCTTAAGTCCAATAGCAATTCACAATGTATGCAGGGAATAAATTCAGTGGTCCAGGGCAGCAACCATGACCATTAGGAACGGTGACTATGAAAAGCAGCAGGTTATTCTGCACTGTTAGCTTCTTTGCTTTTCTTCCTTTTTCCCTTTCTACTTCTTTGATTTGTGATTTCTCTTCTCTTCTAGCATTTTTCCCACTATCACCATCAAAGCACGAAACCCAGCTCTGAGAATTAACTAATCCCAAGCAGTGCTCAGTCTTGAGGAAGAGTCAAGTTAAAAAAGGATTCTAGTACCTGGATCAACAGTAAGGAAAACGTCATTTCTTCTACTAGAGTTTTTCAAACTGCCATGTCCTTTTCCTTCTTACAGGTACTGACTGAATTCAGGCCCTCGTGTTCCAATCCAACAAAAGTTACCAAATAGGCCTCTTGCTTTCTGTGTATCAGACTGATAAAACACAACACACACTTCTACCAGCCCAGGTCCACACTCAGCAGCACTAGGAGAAACACATCACTGATACAGTTTAAAGTTCAATGTCCTAAGCCTGCCCAAAAGCCTTCCTAGCCCCATCAGTCTCTACCCACCATCAGCAATCAGATCAAAGGTTTTCCATTATCCTCAATCTAGTTCATTCTTGGTGCTTAATCAAGGCTCACTCTGGATCCAAACTAATGTCCCCCCTGTCTTTTACCCACCCCAATTTTCCCACATTGAATGTCAAATTCTTTCTTTAAGGCCACTATGATCTCATCATCTTCTGAGTGCTTATAATACTAACAGTGCATAATATCTATTAACTAGACATATTTTATGGAGAGTTAGAACTGGCTTTGGAAATTGACCCCTATTTAACCTTTCAGGCTTAACTTAAACACCGATACTGCCTGTTTGCACTTGAAGCTTTGTCATCTTTCGACTCTGTCCTGTCCCTGGACTCACAGCAGTAAGTACACTACAGTTTTAATCATAGCCATTTCTCCTTATATCTGTGAGCACCTCGAGCAGAAGAGAGAGGTAATTTAATCATATTTGTGCCCTTACTGATTAGCCTCAGTACCTGCCACAAGGGAACTGATCATCAAATGATCAACAATTCATGTAAAATAAATGGATGGAGAGGCATATAAATGAATCAATGAAGGAAAAATAAATAAAGTGGCTTCCTTGAAAAGACAGTCCCTCTTATTCATCTATAGGTGCTCTCAAAATAACAGACACTTACATTTCAGAGGTACACAGCTGATCAAGAGGACAAGGACAGACATTTCCTGACTCTTAGCACTCAGGTGATCTCCAAATAATTTTAATTCTTATCTGACACTATAATCACCTATTAGTTAACTTCTGTGTGTACAAGTTCTACTTCCCTAACACAATACTATGATCCTCAACAGTAGGTGTCACACTTGTCTATTTCTCAAACTGTAGACTAGGAGTAGGCTCTGTGGTGCAGCAGGTTAAGCTGCCACCTGAGACGCCCACATCCCCTATCAGTTTAGTTCCGGTACTTCCACTTCCGATCCAGCTTCCTGATAATGTATGCTGGCAGGCAGCAGCTGATAGTTCAAGTGCGTGGGTCCCTGCCACTTCCATTGCAGATCCAGGCTCTTGGCTTCAGCCTGGCCTAGCCCTGGGAAATAAACCAACAGACGGAAGAGCTCTCTCACTTAATCTCTCTCCTTCTTCCCTTACCCCCTCAGTTGTTCTGCATTTCAAGTAGATGAAAATAAATAAGCATTTAAAAGAAAAAAAGGAAAACAGTCCTAAATTTAAAAAAAAAAAAAACTAACTTCTGATTTAATAGATGAATAAAAAGTTGTGTGGGAATTTTTTTTAAAATTCCTATATAAAGAAACTATATACTTCCATTAGCCCCATCATATTTAGAAAAACTTATTAAAATAAATGGGAAAGATTTTAATATTTAGAACTGGAATGACACTAATGAAAACACCTGTCAACCAACAAATCCCAAGAGGTGTCAGATATAACACTAACTTTCAGGATACTTTAAAAGCATATGGTAACTTTCAGGATACTTTTCAAAGTGTCTGAAGCACATTCAGAACTTGAAATAAAAACCCCCAAGTTTAGGGGACTAAACTAGAACAAAACACTGAAACACTGACACAGAGCAAAATGCTTGTATGTGTGGACACGGCCGACTCACCCCAAGCTCCTCATCATCAGAATTATCAAAGATGTTGTCTAAATCATGAAGGGAAGGTGCCAAATCTGTCACTTGTGTAAGGCTACTGGAGCCAGCTCTGCCAGCAGCATTATCCTGCCGGACATCTGCGGGAAAGGAGGCACAGAGACAGAGTGAACAACTTCGTCCAGCGAGAACGAGGGAGGACAGGACACAGATCTCAACCAACAAGACCTGCCTGAGAATTTTTTTCCTATGGTTTTAGTTAAATTTTGAGACAATTATTTCCAAATATGTTTATCAGTTTTGAAAGGAACTGAAAAACAAACTATGAAAAATATATTAAAGATGTGATCAAATTATTGCTATTACAGTAAGAATAATTTTTAAATCCAGAAGCATCTCCCTTGCATTTTATTTTAGCAACAATCCAAGTGAGGCAAATAACCATTGTACACACCTGTTTTAGTAGCAGAACTGAAAATAGACATGGCATTTTTCCCATCAGGCACCGGCGTGGAATGACCTGGTGTAGTGACATCCTTGGTACCAAATCCATCCTCTGACTGCATAATAAATTCAGCCAAACAAAGCACATGAACACCAACCCAAAGTGTGGAATATGAGGGAGAACACAAAGAATTAGAGGGCAGAATGGAACTTGTTATGAGCACAAGTATGATAAACCATGGTCTATGCAACCAAAGGGAATAAAAGATATGTTCTTTCTCCAGATTTTAACAGAACCAAGAACTCCCCCACTTTCCCCTCAATCCTACGGGGTATCCTATGGGGTATGAGTGAATCAGTGTTTTACACCTAAACAGTACTGGTGGCATTTGATTAAGACCTGCTGTGATGTTAAAAGCTGTCTTTAATAACATTTTAGAGGCTGAATTACAGATCTTTTTCAGATCTGGACAGATGTATGTAAAGGAATCTAGAAGACATTCCCCTGAACTATACTCATCTCTTTTAATTTTTATATTTCCTCTATTTTCAGGAATATCTCTTTCAGTGGCTCAGTATTTTAGAACTTTAAAATTTAAAGTCAAAGACAGCAGACACACCCAGTACTCACTTTTATGAAAGCAGGATGAGTAAAAATACACTGAAAATCTAAGGGCAGTGTTGATATTCATTCAGAGGATATACAGAAATAGCGCTCAATACAGTAAGAATAGGCGCTCAATAAATAGTACACACTATGGTCAACATTTTTCCTTTACTTTTTGGGACTTTGTAATAATATTTAAAAAGAATTAAGCAGGGAGCATAGGCCAACAAGAATTAGCATATGAGAGGAAACATGCACTGTACAAGCTATAGCCTGGAAAATATGAGGCTTCATTTATGTTCGGCTGACTTTTAAACAAAGGTGAGCCATGACATAAAAAGGAACAATACGCTGTTCGCTACAATAGTACCAAGAGCATGAGTATGGGGACAGAGCAATCAGGCAAGGCTATCTCAAACACTCTGCCTCGAAGTCTTCCCAAACATGGTGTAGTAACAAAGATAGAACCCACACCACGCTGGACTCTGTCTCTCTGTTAAATGGTACCTTATTCTTCTTCAGAGAATCTTTCTCCGACCCTTGTTTGCATTTCTTATTTGCTGTGAAGATGTATTTTATGTCACCGTCCTCAAAGGTATATGGGTCATTGACTTCTCCCAAACTGTCTCCAGGTTGCTGTGAGAGAGGCAATGGGTCAAGGAAGTGGAGCGGCTGCGTCTGGGGCTGCTTGTCTTGCCAGATTTTAAACCGTTTGTTAGGTTGTGCTAGAAGTCTAAAAGGGAAAATAAGTGACAATTTGAATAAGGCAAAATGATATTTCAAAAGAACAGCAACATTTATGATTTAAAGCACTTATAAAACTGAAACTAAACTTTAACTCTCACTTATGGAGGGATTTTCTTTTAGAGATTAAATTTGTGAATAAGCAAAACTGAACAGGCTTTTGTCAAGAATACGTGATTTTGCATCTTATTTCAATGATTCCCCTTGAAAGCACAGGTTCTCAGTACAGACTGTCTAGGTTCATCTGCATCACTTAATAGCTGCATGACTCCAGTTTCTGAGGCATGAAACTAACATAATAACGTAGCTGTGGTGAAGACTAAATAAACTGCTATGTGTAGAGTAATGGGTGGCTCAAAGGCAGTATAAATATTAAGTTGTTATTACTAGACTCACAACATACCACCCGAATGCTCACATAGCCTTCCTCATGGTGTTGGCATACAAGCGAGTCACTGACTGCAAAGTGGAAAGTTTCCTAAAGCTATATTCTTTGACTAATAGAAGGCCAAAAGTACACTTACACTAAGCATATCAAAACAGCACAATGAGACCTTTATATGCCAGAGTGTTTAAATAATGACATGTATGTTAAACCTCATCACAAACAAGGCATCTGATTTCTACATGCGGAATCTGGAATGAGGAAGAAAGCTGTTTTCATTCTGGGTCTGAAGGTGTGGCAAGCAAGATCAGGAGGAGAGGCCTCACTCCTGGGAGTCTGTGCCTTGCAATGAGAACAGGCAGGTGCGGCAGGCAGTTGCCTTACCTTTGCAATGCAGTACTCTCTGAGTTCACCTCCATTTTGGCATCACATCTCTCACCCTGGAGCTCTGGAGGCCTGAACTCAGCATCATCACTGGATGGGAGACGAAAACTTTGCCACCACTTATCTGATGACTCTGGGTTCGAGGGCCTAATCCCACAATATAAGGCTGTCTCGCTGACCTCTGCCATCAGAGGCAGTCTTTGGCCTACGAGGACAGTTCTGTCATCCAGAGAAGACAACTGCTGGAGTTCTAGCCCATTTCCATAGAGGGCTGGGTTCACAGGAACAGATGGCGGGTCCAAACTCTCCGTTTCCTGACCTCGTGGCTGAGGGCTGAGTGTTGGCGGCAGCGGGGAAATAGGGGAATGAGGTGAATCCATAGGATTCAGATTCATTTGCTTGCTTGTATTTCTGGAAGGCACGGCCATTTGCTTATCATACTTCCTACTGCTGGATACCTCTAAGGAGGAGTCTATCCCTGCCAACCCTAGCTTCTGTCCTGCTGTATCTTGCTCCATGCATAACTCTTCAGCCACGGAGGGCCTATGGTGAAATGGTATCAAGGGTCTCTTTTGCAACTTGTCTCCTTTTTCCTGTCTTTCTGTTGTTTTGTGCTTAGAAGAAGCAGGAGGTGCTAAAGACGAAGATGATGATGGTCCTGCACTGAACCCTGGTTGAGATATTGTGGGAGGTCGAGTGGGTCCTGTTGCACGTTTCAAAAGTTTATGCCTGAAATGAGAGTTAAAACCAAGAAACAAAAATGAATATGACTAGATAGCATCGCCATAACATCACAAAAAAGGGCCTCTAAGATTTACTCCACAGCTAAAAGCGTGGACTAAAAACCACAATCCACGCTGGTGGAAAGTAAAGGATCAATCAAAGACAAGGTGAAAGAGGGGAGACATGGACTTAGCAAGAAACATGAATGAATGCATTTCTAACCCCTATAAAATTACTAATTTGGAAAAAAAAAAACTCACATCTTTAAATTTGGTAAGGGCCTTAGCTAAGGCATTCATAATGCATCTCCAAACCATGAGAGCAGAATCATGAGATCACCTTTCATTTCAGGAAAAACAAAGTTTCCAATTTCTATTTTATAATACTCTAGTAACTCAAATATAGAATGGTTTATAATGGCTTGTTGTAAACTGGAAATAAAATAACTATGTATGTAACTCTCCCCTATGATGATGAGGGTCAAGTCCAAGAACATTTAATAACATAAATGTACTAGAAAACCTTGTATGTCACTATATCCAGGGAAGAACAAAAGACAGCTTTGGATCTTACAGACACACATTAAACCGAGAGAAAAGGAAACAGGCTGTGAGCTAACATCACACACACACGCACCTGGACCCTCTAAGCAGGAGCACCAAGTCTGCTCAGATGCTAACATACTTCTTGGCAAGCACAGGTGTGAGAAATGGCTCAGTAAGGGCCCACTAGATGATGCCAAGGTTTAATCTGTGCAACCAAGTTATACAGCAGGTCAGCCAGTGTCTCCCAATGTATAAATCATTCCCAGGGAAAAATGGAAGCTCTCCTGCAGCGTAGCAGTAACTCTCTGAGGCCACTAGGCATTAAATTACTACCACATTGCACTAAATGGTGCCCTAGCGGGCAATAAAAGGGATTTGTATGGCATAATGGGATGGTTTATTGGGACAGCGGGATGGCCGCTCTACTCCATGAGGCCGCTGAATAGTGTGAGAAGTGGACCACTCCCTAATGGGTCTAGTAATCCTGCTGCAGATCATCTGAAAACACTCCTGCTAAAGTCTTCACTATTCTGAAATAATAAAACAAAACTTCGACATTCAAGAAAGTTGTCAAAGCACAACGCTATCGACAATACGGCTAACGGTGTGCTTTAAGCCCCAAGGGCACAGCACCACAGAAACATGTGGACGTTTCCTTGGAAAATTTCCCAATCATATCTTCTAAGGGTGCTCATTTGAAAATCCAGACTCCAGAAATCTTTTACATAAAACTTTCTGATTTGGATTTGCTCAAAGACCAATTTAATATGGTAGACTCTTCAAAGTAAAGACTTTCTGCAAAGTGGATAATCTTACCAACCAAGTCAGATGTTTCACTGATATTTAATGACAGCTATATAGCCAAATGGTTACAGCAGAAATGTGGCTGATTACTGAGCAGGAGAGAACCTGTTGGGAGTAGACAGCAGGAAGAAACCAGAGCAAGGCCAAACACTGCAAAAAACACATGGTAGGAAAAAGAGGAGGGAGGCTGGACGAGAATAGGTATTTCAGAGGAAGTCAACATAAGATACAACGACAGGTTAGATCTAAAGAACGAGCAAAAATCAACATATGATGGTTTCTAGGCTGAGAAGAAAAATTGTAGTAGGACTACAATAATGTACTTGGTTTGCAGGGGAAAAAAAAAACATGTCAGTATGAAGGCTATTTCTTAAGGATAGCCCCTAAAATATAAGACTACAGCATATGTGAGAAGTCAGGTGTAGAGCTAAAATCTGAAAGTCAACAAAATGATGACCTGGTACACAAATACCTATTAAAAAAAAAAAAAAAAAAACAGCCTTGAGGGCCGCAGACGTTATGGTGGAGGGAGTCAAGCCATTACATGGGATCACTGGTTCAAATCTTAGTTACACCAACTTCTGATTCAGCTTCCTGCTAATGTGCTGGGGAGGCAGCAGATGATGACCCAAGTACTTGGATTCATGCAAACTGTGTGGGAGACCCAGATGGAGTTTCTGGTTCCCGGGTTGACCTGGCCTACCTTCAGGGCATTTGCAGAGTGAACCAGTGTATGGAAGATTCTCTCTGCCTATCAAATAAATAAATCTTAAAAAACAAAAACAAACAAACAAAAACACAGGGACTTGCAGATCTATCATTTGGTCATATCAGGATGCCTGGGTTCAAGTTTTGACTTCACTTCCGATTCCAGGTTCATACTAGCAAAAACACCTTTGGAGACAGCAGGTGACTCAAGCACTTGGTTACCTGTCACCCACATGGGAGCTCTAGACTGAGATTTAGTTCCTGGCTTCATCCTAACCCAGTCCCAGCTGTTGTGAGCATTTGAGGAATGAACTGACAGAAAATCTTCTGTCTCTGTCTCTCTATTCAAATAAATATAAACAAGCAAATACGTAAACGACTTGGAGATATAAACTTGGAGGTGTAAGAATTTACTTTTTTAAAAAAAAAAAAAAAGATTTATTCATTTATTTGAAAGTCAGAGTTACACAGAGAGAGAAAGAGAGGCAGGGAGAGAGGTCTTCCATCCACTGGTTCAATCCCCAATTGGCAGCAACGGCCAGAGCTGCACCTATCCAAAGCCAGGACCTTCTTCTGGGTCTCCCACCTGAGTACAGGGGCCCAAGGACTTGGGCCATCTTCCACTGCTTTCCTAGGCCATAGCAGAGAGCTGGATTGGAAGCAAAGCAGCCAGGGCTCGCACCAGCACCCATATGATGGATGCCGGTACTGCAGGTGGCAGCCTTACCCGTTACACCACAGAAGTATAAGAACTTGATGAGGAAATAGGACAGTAATTTCAGAAGACAAAAAGGACATTATTTATTTACACTTAAATTTACACATTATTATTTACACCAAAAATAATTCAAGAAAGTTAATAAAATTGTGATACATATCATTAAAAGGTTATTTTTGAACATATAATTAAACATATTTATAAGATAGGATATATGTATATAATGTATAGCTATCAAATAAGGGTAAATAGTTTTTCTATCTCCTTAAAAATTTAGCATTTTGGGGGCTGCCGCTGTGGTGTAGTGGGCTAAGCCTCCACCTGCAATGCCAGCATCCAATATGGGTGCCAGTTCGTCCCAGCTGCTCTTCTTCCAATCCAGCTCTCTCTTGTGGCCTGGGAAAGCAGTGGAAAATGGCCCAAGCACTTGGGCTTCTGCACCCACATAGGAGACTAGAGGAAGCCCCTCATTCCTGGCTTGGGAGACTGGAAGAAGCTTGTGGCTCCTGGCTTTAGAACAGCCCAGTTCCAGCCGTTGTGGCCATTTGGGGAGTGAACCAGCGGATGGAAGACCTTTCTCTCTGTCTCTCCCTTTCTCTGCCTATAACTCTACCTCTCAAATAAATAAATAAAATCTTTATGAAAAATTTATCATTTTTTGTGTTGGGTGCCCTCAAACTCTTCTCTAGTTCTTTAATATAATATGTATCTTTATAAAAGACAGAATAAATTGTTATAAATTACAGTCACCGTAAACACTACAGGTTATTCCTACTATCTAACTATATTTCTTAAAGTGAAAAAAGTCAAGATTAAAGGAAAGAGTAGCAAAAATATGAGGAGGGCACAAGCTAAGTACATTACAATTTATAAGCCTATGTACTTGCTATAGGTGAACCATAACTTGATGGTCACCTGACTATACCTCAGCATTCGTGAGAAGATACTTCTGCTACACAATTCACAACAGCCTACAGACAAAGTAAAACAGTGCACATCTATCCTAAAACCAGACAGATTCTCACATACCCAGAGGGAGGATCATTAATGAATAAACAAAAAAAATCCTCATTGAAAAATCAATCATGAATTTTATTAGGCTGATATTTATAACATTTCTCAACAAGAAGCTGACTACCAAAGCCAGAAGTTGCTAAAAGAGAATATTTAGGGAGTAGGCGAGAACAGGAAGATGATATCAAAACTGTTCTATACGCACATAAAGAAGTTAGCATATAATCTCAGGGGACCAGCTCCCCATGCTGAAGCCTATTCACACAAGCCATACATTAAGAACTCCAATAAAAACTCTAGAGAAATGAAGGATCACATTCTAAATATAGTTTTCTCAACTGAATGTTTCATAAAGATTGTGTAGTATCAAATTTAAAAAGAGGCTGGTGCTGTGGTGTAGTGGGTAAAGCTGCCACCTATGACACTGGCATCCCATATGGGTTTCAGTTTGAATCCCAACTGCTGTACTTCTGATCCAGCTCCCTGCTAATGTGCCTAGGAAAGCAGTAGCGCATGGCCCAAGTACCTGGCCCCTGCACCCATGTGGGAGACCCAGAACACCTGGCTTTGGATTGGCCCAGCTTCAGCAGTTGTGGCCATCTTGGGAGTGAACAAGCAGATGGTTCTCTTTAACTTTGCCTTTCAAATAAATAAATATTTTTAAAAGTTTTTGAAAATATATACTGCAGGAACGGAGCTAAATTGTCCAGCAAGCAAAAAATCACCACCAAGTACTCTTAACAGTCAACTGAGCTGGGAGTAAGACCTATGATCCATTCAAAAAATTTGGGAATACTAATGAAAATCAGGAGATTCTCTATTACCATCAAGAACAGTCTAGGGCATTTCCACAAGTCATGTAGAAATTTTCTGCATAAAACAATCTGGAGCCCTCTCCGGACATCTACATGAATGAGCAACTAGGATATCATGACTCCAACAATCAGCTTTTACCAAGTGTTGCCAAATATCTTCCTCAGTCATCAGAAAACACTAACAACAAAAATAAAACCATCTATAGAAGATCTATTTAATTCAAATTCTATTAACCTAAGACAACTTGTTTTCAATATGTATCTCTACTTTAAAATTAGGAGGAATTAAATAAAGTCATGTATGCTAGAGCTCGAGACTGAATGTCTTGTCAAACCCACGCCTTTAGTTTTGAAGTAGCTAACTGGAAAAATCTGTGGGATCAGTTTGATAACAGGGCCAGCTATCTAATAAACTCTGAAAATGAAACTCCATCATCTGCATATAAGAATGGTCCTTTTCTTCTCTATTGGAGGAAGAGGAAGATTTAAAACAAAAGATAGAGAGAAGTCTGTGAGGCTAGGTGAGGAGCCAACAAGACATGCCGTCACTCCAGTTGACTACTGTTTTGCTTTGTTCAATACCACCCACCTGGAACAAGAACAGCTAACTCTTTGGGTTGGATCCACAAAATCCCAAGTAGCAGGACTGTTAGCAGGCTCTTCTTCAAGAGTTGGAGTTGACATTTGGTTCCTCCTAAGAAGGTTAAAAATTCCACTTATATATCTATATATACATAAAACAACATATTCCAGAGTTGATTATATTTTAAATACTAATGATATCCCATTGATACATAGTTTAGAGCAACCAAAGGGGGAAAAAAACGCTACTTGTTCCACACCCAAGAAGCAGGATTCAAAATATTTCTATTTAAATTTGATACACATAGGTGGTAAACACAACAATTAAACAATGTCTGGCATTACTGTTGCTTTAAAAAACAGTCACCTAAGGGTAAATATTTCATATAGCAGTTAAGACTCTGCTTAGACTGCACACATCCCATATGAGAGCACTCGGGTTTGAGTCTCACCTCCGTTCCTGATTCCAGCTTCCTACTAATGTGCACCTTGGAAGGCAGCAGTGATGGCTCAAGTAGTTGGGTCCCTGATACCCAAATGGAGACCCAGACTAAATTCCCAGTTCCTGGCTTCCACCTAATCCAGCCATAGCTACGGCAGGAATCTGGGGAGTGGACCCACTATTGGAAATCTATGTCTTTGTTTCTTTCTCTGCCTTCCAAATAAATAAATAAATAAATAAAACTAAAGTGACAAAAATCATGGAGAAATAATTTATTTTAATACCTTTCCACAGCAACTATAAGTTATATACCATCTGAAAGACTGTTTAAAATATTCTTATAACCAATGTAATATTTACTTTCATTTAAGGGCAGTACTCCACCACTTTTAATGTGAACCAAAAGGTAAAACACAAAATTACTTCCTATATATCAATACTAACCAGTAACATAAAGTAGATCTCTATTACCACATCATGAAAATAGGAATGCAGGGCAATATTTTTATTAGACTGCCGACTTTGGTAGCTGACAATCCAAAGTGTTTTAATGGTGGCTCTAAGGCATTCTCTTGATCTCCACCCTCTCCTGCCTTCCTGAGTGTCTCCTTGCCCTGCTCTGTGCTACTGATAGAGGGGCTATGGTCTCCTGGAATTCGTGGAGGAGCAGGGTTGCTGGGGACATAAGCTAAGATGACAAATGCAAGGGGAAGAAAAAAAATTAATTTGGAAATTAGGCATTGCAGATAGAAGTAAAATATCGATACCAATTATTCTATAGGGAAAGAATCATTTTTAAGTAACTAGTGGTGCCTTTTAATTCTAGAATGTGACATGCTTTCTCACAGCAATTATTTTAAATTTCATATGCTATATCTTCAGTGACCTATTCTAGGATCAAATTCATTGGGCACTAAATGTTTAATATTAATTTGCTAAAACCTGGGTCTGGATATAAAACTTTGAATAGTAGTCACTTAAGAAAATTTAATTGACTTCTAAGTGATTGGAGTTATTAGCAGTTATTGACAAGAATGTCCATATTGGTTCTGTTCCAGAGAATCAGGACTCATTTCTCTATTTGCCATCAGTCACGAAAGTGGACATCTCATTCAAATTAACACAAACATGAAACCCTGATTATGTTTATATAAACCTGACAAATGAACAAGCACTTGTTGACTATTGTTTGTTATTATCATTTAGGCAATTAAAATATCACTAGCAGTTTTTTCTTAGAATCAATTCTCACTTTATTGCAAAAAATATATTAAGGAAGGCAGGCAAAAAAAAACAACAACAGAGGAACGGGAAGACAAAGAAGAAAAGCTGGGTTGCGGCAGAAGAAAGCAGTTCTGTACTGTAACTGAACTGTAGTTCCCCCAAGTCAACACGCGGGAGCACAGCAGCTAGCAGACATAGCACTATGCGTCCTCAGTTCAGTCACACACGGACCACTGGAACCCAAGGCCAGTAAATGACAGTGACTGGCACAGACAGTCGTTCCCCTCTGTGACTGGGGAGCACTCATGGAGAGGAATCCAAAAGAAAAATCCTACCCACCAACAACGTCCTGAAACTCTGGGTTAACCTCTGAGCCGTCCATGCCAAAAAACATTGGATTGGGGCTGGCGCTGTGGCACAGCGGGTTAACGCCCTGGCCTGAAGCGCTGGCATCCCATATGGGCGCCGGTTCTAGTCCCAGCTGCTCCACTTCTGATTCAGCTCTCTGCTATGGCCAGGGAAAGCAGTAGAAGATGGCCCAAGTCCCTGGGCCCCTGCACCCACGTGGGAGACCCGGAAGAAGCTCCTGGCTCCTGGCTTTGGATCAGCACAGCTTCAGCGTTGCGGCCAATTGGGGAGTGGACCAACGGATGGAAGACTCGCTCTCACTCTCTCTCTCTCTGTGTAACTCTGACTTTCAAATAAATAAATAAATCTTAAAAAAAAATGTTGAATCAACACCATGCTATTCTTTAGATGACTAGGAACTTAAAGGCAAAACACCAATCTGATGACCTCTCAGGTTGGTCATGTCAAGTGCAGTGTGACTGACCTCTTCAAGCAGCATTCAGACTGGTTACTAAAGCAAGGATCCAGATACAACTCAGAAAACGTACTTGGACTGGGTTCTGTTGAGGATGCATTCCTTCCAGACTCGGTGGACCATATGACTGTGGAGTTTTGGAGGAATCTTCCCCGATCTCTTTGGACTGTGCATAGTTATCATCCCCCCGTCTTGGGAACCTAGGTGACTGGCAGCACCCTGCATACCTCCACTCTCACCTGAGAAAGAATGACAATATGGAATGTTGGAATTTTCTGAAGAGAACTCCTAGTGCAGAATCTATTTTATTTAACACAAACATCCATTTCAGTTGTTGACACTCATATTCATGTAGTTTTGCCCCTCCCCCAGCAGTAAAACTATCCATAGCTAAGAGTAAATTTATGCCACAGTGGCTTTCCCCACCCCCGCCACCTCAGCACTTTATCTACTCTCCCTACAGCATTGAATCCAAACAATGCTCCCACATCAACAAGGGCACACACATATACAGGCATCCCTATTTCACACATCTTGGGTACGACATATAAGAAAGTGTTCACACATCCCAATATTAAAGATGCAAATGTACACAGATTATTTTGAACTTTTAAAATCCCAATGCAATAAATAAATTTCAGGGCAGAATAAACAGCAGAGGGAGCTTTATGCTCATTTAGCTCAATGGCCATGTCACAACAGCATACAGTACCTGGGTAGGAGAAAGAACTAAATGGCACAAGGCTTTTAACAAGGCTAAATTTCAAATTTGTGTGTGGATCTGTTTGTCCTTATGCTTCACATTATTTATGAAAGCTTAGTACTAAACACATAGAAAGGCTGTCTTGATATTTTATACCAAAGGATTAAAACTTCACTGATTTCTAATAAGTCCATTTAGTTATTGCTGATGATTATAAATATCTTACTACTTATATCTCATGCAAGACAAATACTGTAATTTGCAATATTAAATTGATTCATTTTCATCTATGAGTTAATAAATATATTGCGGGTTTTATTTTCAATGGAACTATAATATAAAACATCTTGACTAGAACAATCAGTTTAAACACTCAGGAAAAATGGTTATACTTAACTGAAAAAGAAGGAAGCAACTTTCTAACACAAACTAAGTATCCTTGGTAGCGATGCAATGTAAAATAATTACATGAGCTGAACGGTTGGGCATATTCCTATTTTAAAAAAGAACAAAACCTAAATGCTTAATATTCTAAGGAATTAAAATGCGTTTGTTCCTCAGAAAAGCACTGTTATACTACAAATGAGAAAAATTAAAGGACACAAGAAATTAGGCCTATGATTGCTACCTTTTATTTTAAAAGCTTCCTGACTTAGCTTATGATGCAAAAGAATTCATTTCAATTTTACAGTTGGTTTTCAAATGCCTAATATAAAACTAGGAAAGTGATGAAACAAACAGAATAACAAAACTATTTCCCCAAAAACCACTCCACAAAGTAGCTAGAGATACTATATGCCCACAGCAGCAAAAAGGAGTAACTTATGACCAAAGTGGTAGAGTATGAGAAAGCAAGCCACAGAGATTTTTTTTTTTATTAAAGTTGGGCTAGAGCTTTTCAGTGGTACTTAATGATTAAATTAAACTGTGGTATCTTACATGTAACTAAGTCAGACTTGAACTCCAAGCTTTTAAAAGCATGTGGAATGTTGCTATCCCCGATTATTCCCATCTATCAAACAGAAGAGGCAAGAGGAAGAGTGATTTTATCAAAACCATTTGGCCCTCCCATGCTCCCTACTAACCTAGCAGTCTCTTGACAATTTTAGCAGGCAAAGTAACCCATTTGATCTTATATCTTAAAAAACAAGGTAATGTTTAATATTACTTAACTGCAAAACGACAAAGCTGACCAAGATTCTCTCTGATGCAGCATTAAGAGTCCTAAGCTGTAAGTCAATACCCTATAATGTGAAAACTTAAGCAAATTCATTTTTCTACAAAGATATAAACTACAAAGATAAACTTTTGTTTAGTTCTATTGGTTTATCTTAGGGAATAAGGCATCAACAGAGGATTCACTTATTTAAGTTTAGCAAAAACACTATACACTAAATAAGGAGGACAGAATTTCAAGATCTATAAATTCCCCATAGAATCCCACTACAAGCAAAATTTTTTTCTGAATTTTATGAAATTTAGAATTCTGAACTGATCAGGGGTCATATCTACACAAGAACTTTAATTTTCAGTTAAATACAAATTCAGTATGACTTAGGCAAAACAAAAAAGACAAAAATTGGTAACAACTTAGTAATATTGTAGTATAACTTAAAAACCCAAATCTTGAGCTGGCATCATGGTGCACTGGGTTAAGCTGCTGCCTCCTGGCATTCCATGAGCATCGGTTTAAGTTCCTGCTGCTCCACTTCTGATCCAGCACCCTGCTAATGCTCCAGGGAAAGCATCGGAAGATGGCCTGAGTGCTGGGACCACTGCCACCCACATGGGAGAGCCAGATGGAGTTCCAGGTTCCTGGCTTCAGTCTGGTCCAGCCAAGCTGCTGCAGCCATTTGGGAAGTGAACCAACGGATGGAAATGGATTTCTCGCTCTCCTCTCCTCCACACAACCACCTCCCTGACCCATAATCTTGCTTTTCAAATGCACAAATAAATATATTTAAAAAAAAATCTTAATGCAAAATTAAAACTTTTCCAAATATTGATAATTATAGCCTTTATATTAAAATTACAACTATCATGGTTATTACAAAAGACTGTGAAGTTGATTTTTTCAGTTTAAAGTGGTTTTTATAAAATAGGTTGATGACAAATCCTTTCACAAGGGATGATCAAAATTCTCTGCTTTGTTATATTGGAGTTAGTTGCACCTTTTTTCCCACAACCTCAGCAACTATATGACTCTTAAAAACAGAAATGTTTATTTCTATGTCTCCCACACAACAGCTGAATAATGCCTTCCAGATAATGTGTGCTGAACTTGGAGTTTTCATTACTGCTTTCAATTTTTTAAGCTATCATTTGCACATCACTTTACTGTTCACAGAGCACTTTGAGGCACACTGTAACCTAATGCATATCATAACTTTGCATACTGTTAACAAAAAAGGAAACTGAGGTGCTGAAAAAGTATGAGAATTAAACAAGTCATTCACCTTGTGAAAGATTTTAAAATTAGGTGTGTTCGATCACAAACTCTCTGCTCTTTCCCAGTATGCTCATTAACTCTAAACAAGACACTTATTAAATGCCCACTGTGTGCCAAGTACTATGCTAGAAACTCCGAAACACTGTCTTATCACCTTCTACGTGTGTCACGCTTGATAGTCTGTTAGAAGGCTGGCAGCAACTTGTTATTTACTTTAAGGTTTCTGCCAACACGATCCAGATTAAACGTCTATAAATAATCTCATTTCAGCTCAAGTATGATGAGTATTCTTTCCTAAATGACCAGATTTCCAATTAAAACGAGATCAACTCCAACAACAGAAAAGGTAAGTACAAATAAAGAAGGTACAAATTCTCCCAATTTAAGCAATTTCTGATTGAAGCCTGTTCAAACTGCTATAAATAATATTTATTATCACCACAGATAGATCACTGACAGGGCCAGGTATCTGTTGAGGGCTCCTAGGTGCTTGTCTGACTTGCTATCATACTAAGGAAAGAATTATCCAAGACCTGCTGCTAGCTAGCAGTGGTCATTTTGGAAAAGGTTTCAGCCAGTCTCTGATTTGGTGTTCTCTATTTAATTTTAAAAACCAGCAAACCAACAAACAAACCATTCTGGCTCCTGCCTCCCTGTGTGTAAATATGTACAAATCTATAAAGGGGCAAGCAGGCACGCAGAGCTTAAGAGAAACAGCTGAATCCTTCAATTAGATTAAAGACTACGATGGGTACATTTAAAACTCTGAAGTCCATAAACTGTTTAACCTTTTCCTTCTCCATTTTCTAAAATTCTCAAGTTACTCTACCACCCTCATCTCGTCTACTGGAAAATCTGTCCATGTTTTCTCACCAATTCCATGACAGGGTGACTAAATGATTCTCCAGAATGGATCACACTCACCGATGACAGCCTGTTCTGGAGAGGTGGGAGGGGTCAGAGGCAGGCCACAGTTACTTGGATCCTTCACACTGCCAAGCCCCTGCTGCCCAACTGTAACATGGCCTCCAGAACTACCAATACTCTGAGGAACTGGGATGTCATTCTGAGAGATCAAAACAAAAGCTGAAGGGTAGACCATCCGAACACCACCTGTAATGAAGAGGACAAGATGAGCTAAGCTTGAAAAACAGAATTCACATGAGATTGCCAACTTTAATATCCCAGTAGACAGGGTAAGGTTCAATAGGAAAATAAGATGCTCAGGAAGTACTGCCAAAAGTGATACATTTCATTCTTTCCTAAGTTAATAGCTGTTTAAACATATGTTCCAACACAATGATAATAGCATTTGGAATACAGGGACCATTGGTTGCTTCAGGCAAGAAAACTACTCAGGATATACCACTGTGTCAAGAGATTTTTTTTTTAAAACATGGGGAAATTATGGAAATTGTTCCGATGAATCTGAATGATTATCTTTTTAAATTAAGGAAGATGAGAAAGACAAAGAAGTTCTTCAGGCAAAGTATTTTCTCTTACCAACAATTACTTCGACTGCCACAGGGAAATCATCATCATATCCCAGCTCCTCCTCTTCTTTCAATTCCTCCTTCTTTTTTAGCACCATCGGGTAGAAATACTGCCACTCCTCAATCAGCTTTCGGGTAGCTGGGTCTGACATCTTGTATGCATGGCCTGTCAGCGTGCCATTTAAGCCATAAGGACTTACCAGTACTACGGAGGGAAGGAGAAACACAAGGCCATACATTAGAGGAATAATTCTCACTTCATTGCAACACTACCTTTGTGGTAATTTTAAGTTAAAGCATAGAATCACCTAGCATACCTTTTTCTTTAGTTACTAACTCCTTTTCATGTTTAAAAGTTTCTTACTTTAATTTTCCAAAAGTTACTTATATGCCTCTCCAACACCAATTTTTGAAGGAAATAAAGGACAATATTATGCAATCAAACAGCTGTATTAATACATAATATATGACTATCTGTACTTAAGGCATTATAAACATCTGTTTAATAACCATGAACACGGTGTGAACACTGAATCCTTTGTAACAGAAGCAAACTATTCAACAGGTACACCTCAAAACCTGCTAGAACTTGAACACGCTTCCTGTGGTTCCTGAGACTTCCTAAGCACTTGCCGTAAACAAAATACCCAAGATAAGCTTCTCATAGCAGGAAAGTCTTCACGTGAAAACTTGAAGCATAACGCTTACTTAGAATCTCAGTTATGATTGCTTTAAAGGCTTGCTTTTAAAACAACTCTTAAATGAAATTTAATTCAAAAGTGCTTTTATTTTCTTTCCATATTTGACCTGTCATTTTCATTGAGTAGGATATAAAAATGTAGTTAGCACAGAATTGTGAATAACCCAGCCACTTCTTAGCCCCAGGGTAAATATCTCAATCTTCCAAATAACATTTTCTGGGGATAAAGGTCACTTTCGGTCTTAATTTTTCAAGAAAAAAATAGTACAGTACTTAAATGAGGAATCCTTTTCTATTGATATTAATTTTCTAAAGCAGCTGTTGGGGGTTGGGATGCCCATTTCTCACACTGGACTGTTTGATCTGAGTCCAGTTCCTCAGCTCCTGACCCAGTTTCCTGCTGATGCAAACCCTGGGCGGTAGGCAGTGATAGCCCAAGTACTTGGGTCCCTGTCCCTCGTGTGGGAGATGCAGACTGGATCCCAGGCTGCTTACTTTGGCCTGGCCCAGTCTTGACTGTGGTGTGTAATTAGAGAGTGAACCAGGGGATGAAGATTTCTCTTCATCTGTCTGTGTCTCTGTGCTTTCCAAATAATAAGCAAATAAACTTTAAAAAAAACCTAGCTCATATGTCATATCAATCAAGAGAGGAACAGTTAGGCAAATATTTCTTGGGATCCTTTCTACTGTTTCTCAGTGATCCAAGAGAGAAAAAAAATACTGACTCCAACCAACATGGTTAATAAAAGGTTGTTTTTTTTTTTTTTGCATTAATACTTTCAGGAAACTCCCCATCAATTTGGATAATTCTGTGCACCATAATTACACATATAGGCTTGCACCTACCCTAAGTATCTACACCTTCCACACCAATCATGGGAAATAAGCAGGAGAGTGTCCCACAAAAGACTTCTGTGAGTGCAGGCATTAGTAACAAATCAGGAAAACTAAAAGGAGTGTTCTATAGAGATCTGACATTGCTCATATTATCTTTCCCAGCTCTGAAGGTGAGGTCTCTTCTCATGACTAGTGAGTTCTTCTGTTATTGCCATAAATAAATGCTTTTATACGGAGTGATGAAGTCTGGGATAAAGTCAGATGGTCCTCAGCAGGACCTCATGCACAAAGTTAATCCTGACAGCCCATACCTGCACACAGTATAACTCTTTGTGTGGTTAATATGTAATTGTGCTATTTTGAATTTTATAGCTCATACAAAAACACATTTACAGAATGATAAAGCACATAGCTTAAGGTGTGTTGCAAGGGGGAGGATTCTAGATAATACTTAGAATATAGTTAAATGAGGATTCAATTTTGTTTTTCCTCAAAAATTAAAAAAGGTTTAGTTATCTTTAAGGCAAGAAACAGATGCTTTCTTCACGTTAAATCAGAATATCGAAACCAAAAACCAATCATGAATAAAATGGAGGCTAAACAGTCTTAAGAGGCTATTATAGCAGTTACGATATTTTAGTCAAGTCTGTTAAAGCATTTTGGGGGCCAGCATTGTGACATAACAGGTAAAGCTGCTGCCTCTGATATCGGCATCCCATATGGCCACCAGTTAAAGTCCCAGCTGCTCCATTTCCACTCCAGCTCCCTGCTAATGGCCTGGGAAAAGCAACGGAGGAGGGCCCAAATGTTTGGGCCCTTGCTACCAACATGGGAGACCCAGAAGAAGCTCCTGGCTCCTGCCTTCTGCCTGGCCCAGCACTGGCCCTTGTGGGAATGAACCAGCAGATGGAAGACCCCTCCCTGTCTCTCCCTCTCTCTTTGATTCTTTCAAAATAAAAAAACAGATCTTTACCATAACAACAAAAAAACACAAAAACCAGCAGCAGCCTTCACTAATCTCACACTGGATTAGATACTTCAAAAAAAAAAAAAAAAAAAAAAAAAAAAGAACTATTATTCATAGAAATTTCCAAATTCCAAAGACAAAAACAAACACTCAGAATTCCCAGTTAGATCAAAAGGATATAAAGTTATTCTGGTGGTAAAGAAGAGAATTAACAAAAATATGAATGTACTATGTAAAATAATAACCAAGTACCTAATATCAAAAAAGAAAATAATGAACTATATAACTCTAGAAATTTGTTTGAAACTTTAAATACTAAGTTAAATAGTAATCTGTAAACCTTACATTCCTGAAATCTTGTTAATAAGCACAACAATGAAAACCTTTGTAAGAACTGTCAATTACTCACTGGATTATACTCTTCAAATATTTATTGATCTTCTGTTCTGAAGGAAGTTCTCTTTTTAAATTATTTTATATTCTTTTTATTTGAAAGGCAGAGTTACCGGGAGTTGTGGGAGGAAGGGGAAAAGGGGGGGGGGGGGAGAGGGGGAGGGAGGGAGGGAGGGAGGGACAGAGACAGAGACAGATAGATATCCGTCTTCCATGCACTGGTTCACTCCCAAATGGCTGCACAGCTGGGGCTGGGCCAGAAGCCTCCTCCAGGTCTCCCATGTGAGTACAGCAGCCCAAGCACTTGGGCCATCTTCTGCTGCTTTCCCAAGCACATTAGCAAGGAGCTGGATCAGAAGTGCAGCAGCCTGGACTTGAAATGGCACCCGCATGGGATGCCAGCACTGCAAGTGGTGGCTTAACCCGCTATGCCACAGTTCCATGAAGGAAAGTCCTTGAAGGAAATTCTCTAAATTTTATTCTTCCATACAATTTCACTAACACATTTTCATGATAAACTTCAGCAAAAAACTGGCAAGCTACTTAATTGTAAATTGTAGCCTTCCCTTTCTTCTTCAAAAACTTAACTTCAAAATGTACACTTGAGAAACTCATCCTGCAAAGCTTGCTGGGCAAGGAGCTACTCACTTGCAGGGCTGGGGAGGTGGCGAGCAGGGAAATGACCATCTACTTACCTTGAAATGGTGCAGGTGAAGACTGAGCCATGTGTAGATGCTCCTCATTGATCAAGTAAATTGGCTGGTGTTGGGCAATCTCCACACTTGTGCATACATTACTTTCTCCATGAAGAAAGAATGTGAAAGCACAGGACAAATGCTCACTAAAAAAAGGGAAAAGAATGAGAGTCAACTTCAAAATTTTTTTTTAGGAAAGGAAACAGGAAGCACAGGTAAGATATAGTCCTGCTTTATCTACTATTCAACAAATCAGACCTCGAATCAACTGTGGACAAAACAAACTTCAAGTTGATGGTAGACAAATAATCTAACAATAACTTGTTGACAAATCTGAAAGATTAGATATGCTGCCTTCTAAATTTTTAAAAATTATAGTGCAGAATGCTTCCTATTATATGTGCATGAAATCTAACTCCTATGCCAACTGTAACTCCCAAGGATGGAGATAGAATCAAAACATTTTCTACCTTCTCATTGCCTCACATGACAAGCTTAAAACTCTGTGAAATCAAATAAATGAGGAAATATCCAAACGGCTTTTTAAAAAAGTTGTTTATGGACTAGATGGAAAGGCAAGTTCTGAGCTGGGTCTAAAATGGCTACTGATTCTAGGAACAATGACAAAACAGCTTTGTTTATGTTTCATATAACAATAACATCAAATTTAAAAGTTTACATTGCAATAAAGATAAAATTGTTGATCTAAAAATAGCAATTATGGGTACTGCTATATATAAACTCCCAATACACAAATGTTAAGGTAATATAAGTCCCTAAATGGGTGAATAATCTATTAAATTTAATTCTTACAATTTGCTTCTGATCACAAATTTCATTGAAGCATTCTACTTCTCCATTTTCCACACAATTAGCCAAAAATTGATAAAAATGAAGTGTTGTGGAGAAAAACAACTTCAAAATTACAACAGGGGTACATTATTCCAAGTTCTCCTCAATGCACGACATTATGGCCTGCACATATTATGACATACACATATTGGATTAATGGTGGATTGGCTGATTTTTCAGATGTAAGCTTCAGCTGAGGGGTTTGAGCTGATTCATCTACTCGTGCCCACTATCCCAACAATATTCAAAGAAATCTAGATGGAAACTGTAGGCATGAAATGTTTTCTGGTTCCCCACTGTACAGATGGACAAACGGAACTAACAACCATCCACCAAAGAGTAAGTGCAAAGAATGGCGTGAGACAACTAAAGCGACACTGAACAAAACATGTCCTCACACTCAGGAGCATATGTGCTAACAAAAGATTGATACGAAGACACAAAGATGAAGCCTTGCACAGAAACAGAAATTACAACAAAATGCCACAGGAAGGCAAAAGTGCAGGATTTCCTCCATCTGAAATATACAAATACTTCCTGAGGAAAGGAACAAAAGAGAACAGGGCTTCAGCACTAGAAAGAAGAGAATGTATGATAGGGATGAAGCAAGGAGCATGCGTGGTTAAGAACAGGATGAAGCTGAGCAATTCTTAACAAGAAGAATGGTGCAACATGAGCTGAAAGGAGTCTGAAAAAGAAGTCAGAGACCACTCCTTCAGATTAAAAAAAATTATGTGCAAAATAATAGGGGGCCAAATTAGTTTGGTTCAAAAAAGTCATCTGAATCTAAAGAACTGTTATGAAAATTTCAAACTGCTATTCACTAAATTTGAAGACTCCCCCCAAATGTGAGAGACATAAATGAAAAAGAACTGTATCAATGACCTGTTTTTATATTGAAAATTCTAAAAACAAAACATCTTTTTAAAAGCAACAAAACAAAACAAATAGAACTTATGGTGGCAACATAACAAGCCACCAGTGACATGTAATTTTTGCCCAGTTCGGACCTCTCTGATCACAATGCCCTCACTCCTCACATGTGCTAGTGCAGATTTCTGGGTCCCCACAGGCTCTGATTTGGGAGGTCAAGGTAGGAATGAACTTGCATGTCTTTAAATGATTTTTTTAAAAGATGTATTTATTTATTTGAAAGGCAGAATTACAGAGAAAGAGGGCACATGAGAGAAATCTTCTATCTGCTGGTTCACTCCCCAAATGGCCACATTTTGGCTTGTGCCAGGCCTAAGCCAGGAGCCAGGAGCTTCATCCAGGTCTGCCACATAGAGGCAGAGGCCCAAGCACTTGGGCCATCCTCCCCCTGCTTTCCCAGGCACATTAGCAGGGAGCTGGACTGGAAGTGGAATAGCTGGGGACTCCAGTATGGGATGCTGGCATGGCAGGCAGCAGCTTTACCAGCGGTGTCAAAAGGCTGGCCCCCATGAATTTGCATTTCTAAGAGGTTCTCAATTGTCGCTGTTGCTGTTCTTGGCCCAATAGCCACTCTTTCTGAAGCCCTGAATATGAAAGTACCTCAGTCCTTTCCCAGCTATTAAATTATTTTTTTCATAATCTCCTAAGGTTATGTGAAATAAGAAGTAGTCAGGGACAATAATACTGTCATCAAAGTAGAATTCCCCTTTGACCTAGCAACACCACTTCTAAGAATTTATTCCACAGATAAAACTACGGAGCAGTTACTGACCACACAGTTTATAATGAAGTCTGAAAACAGCAAAAATACTGATCAGGAGAAGGGCTATCAGTACACTATGGTGTATTGCTACAGTTCAGTACGTGCAGCCTGTGAAAAGGACATGACCACACCGATAAGGGAAAAAGTCCGAAAAAAACTACGAGGGTGAGCGTTTGGTACAGCCATTAAGCAACTGCTTGGGTTGCCCACACCCCTTATCAGAGTGCTTGGGGTCGAACCCCCACTCTGATGCCAATCCAGCTTTCTGCAAGTGCGTGCCCTGGAAGGCATCAGGTATGGCTCAAGTAATTAGGTCTCTGACAGACACCCATGTGGGAGGCCCTGCTTGAGTTTCTGTCTCCTGGCTGTGACCTGACCCAGCCCTGGCTGAATGGCCATTTAGGGAGTGAACCAGTGGTTGGGAGATCTCTCTCTGCCTTTCAAATAAATAAATAAATATCATGAGAAGAAAAAAGGTTAAACATAGCATGAATAATATACTCTCATTTTTATAAAATATATTGGAGAGAGAAAAATATATGAACATACAATTTGTTCACAATGGCATAACATTTTTCTGGAATGAAAAGACACTAAAACCCTAATAATATCAGTTCCTCTGGGGAATTAAGCAACATGAGGAGGACAGAAAGGGATAATTCTCAATATTCTTTCATTCACTTTGACTGTGGGGCCATCTGTGACTCAGAATGCAATGGAGACAAGATCTGAGGAAGCTCCTGTCTCCCAGCCTTGTGCAGCATGCTTGGTGGCCCAACTTGTGCACACACTAGGGGAACCTATGTTTCACCTCATCATATTTGGTTCTTAGTTGAAATCTGCTGAGATCATTATTGCTCCTGATTCTGTTGTCCACTATACTGGTTATTTGATCAGTAAACCATCAACATCATTTCCATGGCATTGCCAAAAATGACCAGAGACTGCACTAAGGATACTGTACAATATCATCTCATCATATAACTCCAAAGTGACAAATTCACCAGAGTATTGTCACCAATTTATTATTTCTTCCCTACAGAGGATAATCTTACAAGGTTATGGCAGGGGCTAGCACTGTGGCATAGCAGGTAAAACTACCACCTCAGTGCCAACATCCCATAATGGGCCCATATGGGTTGCTACACTTCTGATTCAGCTCTCTATCATGGCCTGGGAAAGCAGTGGAAGATGACCCAAGTGCTTGGGCCTCTGTATCCGCATGGGAAACCTGGAGGAAACTTCTGGCTCATGGCTTCAGATAGGCCCAGCTCTAGCCGTTGCAGCCATTTGGGGAGCAGATCAGCAGATGGAAGATCTCTCTCTCTCTCTCTCTCTCTCTCTCTCTCTCCGCCTCTGCCTCTCTGTAACTCTGCCTTTCAAATAAATAAATGAATCCTTAAAAAAAAAGTTATGGCAAATGTCTCAATAAAATAGATGCATAACTATCATCTTTCTCTAACCTAGAAACATGCCTAAAAGTCAAATTCAGGTGATTTCATACAAAATCCAACTTCTCTCTTTTTACAGATGAGAAAACAGAGACAAAAAAGTTCAATGACATTCTTAAAGGTACCCAGGGAATTAGTCTTGAAAGTCAACGTTCTTTCCACTAGCTCATATATAAATAGTGATTCTCATTTATGCCCCTATTAATTTATATACTTTCATAACTAAAAAGAGATCAGATTTGTGACTGAAATTCAAACAAGGGGTTCTACAAACATAATTAGAGCTATATTATGTTACAGTGCTACTTTAGAGTTAGGAGGCAAATCTATAATACAAGCTCTGCGTCTATTTTTGTTTCTTTTCATGCACCCCCATTTTCACCTTACCCTTTGAATCACTATCTATTTCATATTCTCATCATTTGAATATTAAGAGATTCTAGATACACTCAAGCTTGGCCTCTTTCTAATTTAAGGGGAAGGCATGACTGTGCTCAAATTTACACAACTCATTCAGAGCAAAGTTGGAGTTAAGAACCAGGTCCCTTTCTTAGTGTAGTGTTGATAGTACACCCAAGGCTTCCTACCTCAGATCAATGCTGCTTTCATCGTCATTCACTAACATTGTAACAGACTACGGAACTTAAAATAGAGCTGCATCAACCCTACCAGGTAACAAGATACTATCACAAAAAACACAGAACCAAAAACATTGCAAGTTCATTCAAACTAGAACTGGAACCTTATCCTTGTTCTCTAATGGCACTCCACTGAACAAACTTTACTTTATTCCAGATGATTACTAAAAATGATCTTCAATTCCATTTATGCTCCCTCTACTCATGAGTCAGGTTTAATTCATTTAACCTCTCTCACCTAAAACATCTCTGCAGTCAACAACTTATTTCAGTCTTCCCTGGAGTTCCAGATATTCCCTTTCCTCTGGCACTCCCATATACATTTTCTCCCAATCCTGAATAACCTTTATTTCTCCTATTTGCACCAATAAAATTACACCCAGAGTTAAAATAAAAGGTCAAAATTATGCCACAATGAATCTTAACAAAAATTTGGTTGGCAAAGAAACAACTAAGTAAAACCTTAAAAAACACGTGTTAAACTTAAGTTCAACATTACATGATGATAA